AGGAATATCGTAGGACCTCGAATCTTATGTCTTCGTTAACTTTTTTTAGAGTGAAAAAATTAGCCCATTACGTCACTTGACTAAGCCGGAGGTCTGTTCCATCAGCCTGCCTCCCGCCCTCGTTAGCGGCGCGTTAATGACAGGGCGGGGGGGCAGCCGCCTCATGGCGGAACAGCCGGGTGTCACGTCTTCTGTCACAGAACCTACGTCTGAACCACGGACAACAAAAGGCGGGAAAACAGAGCCGACAGGCGTGCAAACCGTAATGATGGGTTGTAGCTGACCTTCCGACCCGACACTACCCTGTATACTATGTTTAACCATAACGGTTATGATTATACCCGTGTTTAAGTCGAAGTTTCCGTGCGTCGCTCTCATTACAAAAGAGACGACTAAAATGTGACCGTCCGGCCAACGCCATGGTACAGGTGACGTCGAAAGATTGTAGGTGAAAATTCAGTTTGAATCGCTAGTCTGTGCAGTTCGTATTCGTGCAAAAACCTCCACTAGCTGCACTAGGATACATAGAAAATGTATCACACATTCGCAGACCCTACTTTTTAAGGTTTCTAAAAACACCAGACAACTAAAATTTAGCAGTAATTTGCAAGCACTTAGGACACATATCATAACATTTGCATTTACCAAATTGTTTGTTTGGTTGGTTCCTTATCTACTCATGAAAATTTGAAGAAGTTATACACATCCAGAAAAATGATACTTAATATTTTACGTATATGTAGGCCAATTCTACACAAACATTATAAGTACTAAAAGCAGTCCGCTCGTGCTAGCGCTGTTGCCATCACAGCCGTAAGTGGATTACACACAAAAAGAACTACTGTAGTGTACAGCGGCTCTTTGATGTGCGCCACGTTAATCTTGTCTGATCCGATCAACCCACAAGTTTTATCAGATCCTGTGTTTTCTCCGTGTTGCCATCAGACGTGCATTGTTGGGAGATTTATAGTGAATGACCAGCTTAACACGTCCGGGGGAAACATGAAAGGGAACAAGCACAAGGGTCAAGTATAAAGGAACAACATGGCCGTCTGACAAGGCTGGGAAAGAGGCTGGTTTTCACTTCTCTCAGTTAGTTTTAGGTGTACATTTTTGTCAAAAACAATCTGGAGATCCAGACGACTGCAAATGCTTGTGATTTTTCATTATTCATTTAGTGTTTTGTAATTTTTCCTATCAGATTATGTCACATAATTTCCTCGAATTGAAAGGCGAAGCTTGCCTCCATAGACCTATATATACAAAAGATTTTCAAATGAACGAAATGTTTGCATCTGGTTGCCTTGAGTTGAATTGATCACAGAAAACATCAAAATTTCATAGGACGTTACCTTTATGGCCAATAAACGGTTTAAAATGCCATAAAAGGATCATTTCCTAAGTACAAAGCCTGAAAAGGCGCCGAAAGACAGGAAGAGGTGTTGCAATTGGAACCGACGAGGTACTAGCATAGCCCACCTGGGACTTTGAAGGTGGGAAAATAACATTCCTGTTTATCAAACTGAGTGACGGAACTTAAACGGCCACTTTCTTTTATCTTTATCAACGCCCTTAATGAAAAGCCTGTTCAGATAAGATTCAGTAACTCCTCCGACACTTGGGGGCAATAAAAACATCACTAGATTTCACACGGATAAAACCTTGTCATTTCTAACACCTTGGGCATTTTGTCAAATTGTTATTACTATATGTAATGCCTACATGTTGAAAGATTACTCGGTGTTCAATTGCAATAAGCAGATGTTTATACTTTTTTCTAGCATTGTTAATGAATTTTTAAACATCAATATATTGCTTGTATTGTTCACCTTGTGTGTTGGCAGATGTAGGCTGAAAGATAGTTATTACGTTTGTTGTGTCAAAGATAATGTAATTGATCGTGTTCTATAAACATATGGATGTCACATAGTGCCCGCATGTACCCACACATGACCCATCTGTAGCAGTGACTCATGGCCATCAATGTCAATCACGTGGATTGTTTCCGTACACGAGTATTTCATCTATTCTTACACCAATCTGCTTTTAACAAGCCTAATTCAATCACAAATGCGATGCCGTTTCCATTGTCTCTGCTGTAAAGACTATCCCTGCTTTGAACATGATAAATGTCCTGACAATCCTTTTATAATATTGAGTAAGTAAATCAAGCATACACACCCCTTATAAAGGCTGTTATAACGTTAGCATGTTTGTCCTTTCTATGACCTGTCTTTGTTAAAGAAAAAGGTCGATGCTTTATTTTGATGGCAGTACCCGCCCGCGGGGTATGACTGCCCTTTTTGTAGCCATATGCTCGGCGAAGCCTTTTATGGTTCTCACCTGCCGAAAGGTGTGTGAGGAAGGCGGGGCGTGGCGCAGGTAGAGTGTCTGGTCTCCCGCGGGCACAGGAAAACGTGCCGCACGGTTGATTGACAGGGGTGCCCATCTGCCGGCTGTTATCTCCCCTATCATTGGCTATTCATTAAGCGTGTCATTATGGGTAACGCCGGCCACTTACCTGCCTGGCGCGGTCATACGGTACAGACAGACAACACAGATGCGCGTGTCGTGGGTTATGATATGTGCACGTGTGTCAAAGTAAAACCAGCGGGGATAGGCTTTCAAGCTATCGGAAGAGTTGTACTTATATCAAAGTAAAGCCAGCGGGGGTAGGCTTACAAGCTATCACAAGTGATATGTACTTTGTATCAAAGTAAAACCAGCGTGTCAGGCATACATGTCATCGCAGTGTATCTGTAGATTTTACGCTTATGTTTGTACTCGTGATTGTTGTTTTATCACTCGTGATTTGGTGATATCATTATTGTATCTTCGAAATGTAGTTATGCATAACTTTTTCTTTTCAGATCTGAGGTATCAACTTTATATTCAGATAAGACCTCATGATTTCAACTTAATTATAAATTATACCGTTGCTGCCCCAGTCTCTTTCTTATATGCATCATTCCCTTGTGTTATTTATCATAAAATACGGACTATGAACAACAAGGGTTATAAAAACAATGAGGAAATAATGAAGGAAAGTACACAAGAACGGCGACAGACAAAAACGAAAGAAAAGAAGACAAGAGGAAAACGGATACAATCAATGCAAAAATTGATTTTTCCTCGCCCCCTCCTTGTGTGACCAATTATCGCACAAAAACTGTCCTTTGACGTAGTGATTATGGGACATCTTTGGCGCCTGGATGTCACACACAGGGACACCGTGGGAGGGGGGAGACACTCGGTGCCATCCGATGACACGGTGTCTGGGCGACACGACTGTCCAGGGGACATGTACTGTTCAACATTATTCTAGTATCTTCCCAAAATATGTACTGCATATTGACATGTACTGTTCAATCTTCCCAACTGTCATGATAAGGTCCTGGTCACATTCGTTGCAAGACCATCGTACGATCACAACATAAGGACAAGGACATTCTTGGGATAGTCGTGCATGTGTCCTCCTTTTTATATCTTACTCCGGGATGGTTCTGTCACAGCCTGCCTAACAATTATATGACATCAAAATCGTTCGACGCCATGCGACGAATTGTGACCGCTCAGTCATCTCGGTATAAAAATGCGTCATCATAGAGTTTTTATATAGTTTGACTTGCAAAAGGCTAAACTGTCCACTATCATTAGCGGATTTATCTAAGAACGCAAGACTCGTAATATGCAAGATATAGCCTTAGATCTGCCGATTTAAAGAATAATCTTTGTAATGATGTGATGGTCCGCTTTGAGGGCAAATGAACTTTACTTCCATCTATGATTACATGTATATCTGTATTGATATCATGGATAAGGAGGGCACTGGCGACAGTAAAATGAACTTTAAGTACAAACTATCAGACACTCTATGGTCTCAGGAATTGGGTACAGCTACATACGGGCATACACGCACGAGAACACTATGGTTATGGCCAGAATTTTAACAACAATCTACCCTAATCTCCGTATCGGTGTTGTCAATGCTAACGACTACCTTAAATCCTTGCTAATCCCAGACAAATGTCAATGGCGACGTTTGCCATGCATCACGGTGGATCGTTAGTCTGTTCAGACCCAGCTGTACGTCTGTTGGTTCATCACTAATGAAGTCCTGTGTTGTATCAATGTCTCTTCAATGGACGGCAGCAGACCGTAGAGACATCACACTTTTTAACGGTTTCTAGGCATACAGTGGTGAAACACTCCCATAAAAACAATTCCGTAAAGACGAAACATGTGTTCTTGTGTTCTGATCGTTCAAACCGTGTTTTGCTGATGGATGTTTTATTAGGGTGCATTTTTATGAGATTCGTATTGGCGATATTGTCGGTAAGATCTCTTAGCGGCCACTCGGGGTCCAGAAGAACAATGAGAGAACAAAAACTCCAGAGGAGCCTGGGCTCGGCCCGGAGGGGGACCTGCCCGTCCAACCTGTCATTATCCGCGGGTGCGATATGTAACCCTCGTTAGCGCTCTAATGCACATCTGCTTCCCTTAAACAGCCGCACTTGTCCATTGTGGGGAAGACGGCGGGAGTTTCGTGGCATTCGAGCTTGTTAACAAGGGATATGACAGCGTGCAAGACCAAGAGAAGGCGGCTGAAATGTATTGTTATCCGGCACTGCGTGTGTACAAACAAACGTATCAGTTTCGTTGTTCTTGTCATCTTTGCCACACATGTCACACTCTGATTTAACTTAACGTCGTTTGCAGATTTAAACGCCGGCATCGATGCACCCACAGCCTAGTACTATTCTCTTGCCAAATTCCAGAGAAAGGGGCATTCTCATTATATCAGATTGTTACTTGGGTTGGTACCGGTCCTCCCAAAATTTGGCCAAATTGCCACACAAAATGCATAACCAATAGCTAGCCGCAGGTGTAATCAATTGAATCAGACAACATTATTTCGTATATAAGTAAATTTATTATCACTCTGTACAACACAAACTCCGTATATTTACATACACATGTGTTCGTCTTCCAACGACCTGAGTGTTCATTTATATGTCATCACGGCACATGGGATCAATAGTCATTACATATCTGTCAAATGTATGGAAAAGAATAAACTGAATATCATTCATATCAACAAAATCATTGTATCACATAGAACCTTTGCTGTTCATGCATATGGAACTTTTAAATATAGAGTATTTGGCAGAATTAGTGCCTCGCGGTATTTCCGTGAATACACCGCAAACATTTCAAACGATATGCAACTGTATTAAGTCCTGTACGTTGTGATGTTGCTTTTGCACGTTGCTTCACATTGAATGACTAGAAATGCAGGACTTCGTGTCGAATGTGGATTCACATTGAACCACGACTTAGGTTTTACACAAAATTCTGTTTCTGTACATTGTATTTAAAAATCGGAAATCGGATGCCTTTACAAATGTTCACTGGACTGGATTCAAATCTGTTGGTACTAGTATTTTATAGAGTTCAATAGTCTGAAATGTCCCGTTGTCACCTGGTAAAGGTTGGGAGTTTTCCAAGCTGCAGGCGGTTGCTGGCGTCGGTCGGGCACTGCGGACATGCACAGGGCAGCGGCCACGGGCTGAAGGGGCTTCGGACGTGGTGAGGACTGGCGCCGAGGACGCTGCTGGTCGGTACGGTACCGCTGCTCACCGGCGGGTGTGGAGGAATGATCGAGGTCGGAGGCATGGTTAGTCTGTGGAAAGATGGTACAGCGGGCGCTGACGGTGCGGGGTGAGCAGTGGAGGGCAGGCCGGCGCGCCGCGTGTGCTGTATGTCACTCACGAGCCGCTTCATCTCCTCCAAGGAACTGTTGAGCATGAGGATGTAGTTCTTGGCCAGCAGCAGCGTGGCGATTTTGGAGAGTTTCCTGACGGACGGACCGTGAGCGTACGGCATGACTTCCCGCAGCCCGTCTAGTGCCGAGTTCAGGTCGTGCATCCTCTTCCTCTCCCGATGGTTGACTTTCAGACGGAGCTCCTGAAGTTCCTCCTCAGACAGCTGCTTCTCGGTCTTCTTCAGACTCTTGCTGGTCCTTCTGATCTTCCCCGGGCGGGACCGGGAGGAGGGTGAGGAGGGGGCGGGCGAGCCGCCGCTGGACCAGGACGATGTCGGGGAGGACGGGCGGGGAGACACAGACGGGGAGGTTCTGTTGAACATCGCGGCGTCCGGAGTCTGCTCCATCTTCAGAACCCACTTGGCCGTCTCGATGTCGCTGTTGCTCATATCGTAGCTTCGGTACACACGGCGCTTCCTTGTTGGAGTGGTTATTAGGAACACATCCCAGACTTTTTAACAGAACAGGACAAAGGGTCTGTCTGTGGAATCCCAGTGGACGGAGAGCCAATCAGGACGCTTCGTGTCCATGGATGGGCGTGTTCACGGTAGAGATTGTCCTGTAAATGAGCTCTCCATCGGCTTAGGAAAGGTAAAACCACATGGTAAAACCAAGAGGATAAAACCATCGGTGTAATCAAGGAATCTATATCATCTTCAGTATATCCAAGACGGTTCTATTCCAGATACTGGGAGATAGGAAAAAGTCACGACTTTGTCTTCCAACATCTACTTGGAGATTACGTTGTCGCGCGCGCGTTCATTGCATACAACAATCCTTATATCTCTCTCCATCTATATATAAGATAAATATTATATTGTTGGCAATTTAAATAAATAAAATATAAGATAAATATTATAACGTCAGGTGTTTGTGCAAAATGTGCGGTTCATTTTCGGGACTGTAATATAGAAAAGATCGCCATATAGTCCTCAAAAACGCGCTCAAGATGTCACGCATTCGCTTGCACACATATCATTTCAAGCACTGAACAAACTACGGCCTTTCGTCGCATGTTTGCGTTTCATCTCATAGAAAGTGTGCTGACAATCCTTGTCTAGTTTTTAGAGACTGACATGCTAAACAATACCGACTTGACAAATGTTACACACAGTCGTAGTCTCAACCACGCATACTTTGCCCCACGCAGTGCCCTCCAGCGGAGTTTGTATAGAGTGCAGTGTGGGGTCTCTCGCTTGTCCAGTTACATCATGGCCCCACCATGGTCGGAGACCTTAATGACTAGTTTCGGATGTCCCCACCACAAGTTCGCGCTTTGATTCCTGAGATAATGACGGGTTAGACCGTCTGCACCAGAAGCTCGGGCCTGGGACGTGTCCCGTCCAGTTTCACGGCGCGGACAGAACTGATGGAGGCGGACAATAGAGAACTCCTCCCCGGTACAAATCAGCAGACATTCCCCACTGAACTCATTCACCTTCGCGGTGGACGATACCCACAGAACCGTCACAAGACGTTAACTTTGAAACTCTGTTATTGTTGGTTAGCTTATGCAAGTTTGCAAATATCTGTTGGCTTAGCTCGAGTTCTCAATAGGCTAAGGGTCAAAAAGGAGTTTGTACCCTTGCCCATTGCATTATTGTTCGTTCGACCAAAGTCAAAGAATATTGCACAACATTAATTAATTAATGATAACGGAACAATACTTGTACGGTCATCGAGCAAAGATCCATTGGGAACCTTTTTTCTTAAGCTCTAGAGCTCATCATTGTTTTGTATTGTTTGGCGGAAAGATTAAATACACCAATTATTTATGTCTATCATTGCAATCAGGTGAAACATTTGGGAACTGTGGCCAAAATCTTCCCAACAGAAAGTAATCTCAAACAATCCTGGGAAAATGCAAAAACTTGACCTACAGAGGAAATCTTCCTGGGAAAAACAACCTGCCCTGACAACCCTGGGAATGAGTCTGTTCTCAAGTCCAGGGTTACTCACCTGGGGATTTCTGATTGGCTGCCATAGCAACCAATCAATAATGACCTTATCAACCATCTTCACTACTGAGCAGTTCCAACATTTAATTTCATTTCTGTGGGGTATAAGTATTTATTTTATTAAAAGGTGGTAACTTTATGTCATATCAATGATAATACTCCATGTAATGTCAGTAGATGTAGAAAAGAGATACCCCAGGCTCAGACCATGAGACCACACACTGTGAGATAGTTGGTGGGAGTGTGTCAGAAGATGAGCCCCACCCTCTCCTGAGGATATATTGTCATGACTGTTGTGTGTCCAGAGGCTGTATTGTTGTGTGTGCTGACCAGGTATTGTCCTGTGTGCCCTCCGACAGGACAAGTCAAGATGTCTGCTGCCAACTGGACACAATGAGGTGTCGGTTAGTCCTGCCGAAGGGCTTTGAAGGTCTGTGAACTTTAGACCACTGACCCTTTTTCTGGGATAAAAAGGACCTTCTTTTCTGTCTCCTTCACTTTGAACTTCCGTCTTCTCATGACCAGCTCAGTGCTGACTGGGCAAGTTTGGCAGTCTTGGGGAAATTCTGCTGCCAAACTTGTAGGCTAGAGATTTGCGGAACTTCTCTCACCAATCTTTTGAGTGTAGACATGGTTTAGAAACTGTCAGTTCTAAATCTTGTTGTGAAAGTGTCTCAATTGCTAGTGGAAGATTTTAAGATGTGGAATAAATAGTAGAGCTACAACTAGGAAAGACGGTAATCCTTTTTGTTACTTCTTTCCTAGATCATACATCATTAGAAGATTTCTCTCACACTGGACATGTGCCCCACCCTACAGTCTTGAGTTTGTTTGCCCAACTCTTGCTCTTCCTCCCCACAGAAGGCACCAAACCTTGTCATCATCTGGTCACAAATGTTCCTGTCCAAAAACCACAACATTTGGTCAATTCTAATCCTCTAAGTGGATTTAATTCCCTCCCAGTAATGAAGAAGAAGTGCCCAAATCCTTTCTGTGACAGACTTGAATGGACCCATCAACTCCTTTATGTCCCTCTTGTCCAGCTTTTCACAGCTTTTTGTGTCCTCAGAAAACACAATCAGAAACTCTGTCAGTCTGGTAAATATTCAATCAGTCCTGAATGGGTTGATGGGTAATCTGGATGGGTTCATTAAAAAGTCAAATAGATCCTTAGTTCTCCCTTTGACTCATCTGTAAAAACCACCAACAACTGGTGAAGTCCTGTAGACTGTGTATTGTCTGTATGAGTGGTGGGTGTTTGAATCAATTAGAGATATACAGGGTTTAGGGTTGGAGGAAAACTTCAAACTGAGAAAAGTACTGGATTTGAAAGTGCCACATTTGTATAAGAAGCTTCCAACAGACTGGCTTCTCAAAACTGAAATATGTATCCCAAAATGTATCTTCTTCTGCTCCTAGCCTTCTCTGTTATCTTTGCAGTTTCCTGAGCACTATAAACTGAAGTACCCCCAATGCCAGCCAACCTTCAAGTACTAGTCTACAATATTTCTTCTTCCTGTCCTTTTTCATCTCAGATCAAGGACACAAACCTCAGGACCTTTGGGAGGTGAAGAAGTCAGAGTCATGTCTAAGGTCTTTCAGACATGTCTAAGACACTTCCTGCGTCCTTTCTCCTGTAATCTCAGACCAAAGGAACATCTAAGAGGTGAAGAAGTCAGACTCAGGGAATGAGTTCATTCAGGCGTGTAATTTGTCCCAATCAGGAAAGAAAAACTCAATTTCAAGCCTTGTTGCGGAGGCGACAAAACCCTTTGTTCTAGTGCTCCTGGCCTGTATTGTGTGGTGGTGACCTCACCAGGGGAGGGGCCGGCCAACATCAGGAATTCTCCTCCAGGTTTTACATCTGAAAACCTCCGACAGAAGCCTTCAGGGTGGCGAGTGGACAGAACAACAATCCCGTCAAAGGACCATCCTTTCTGCTGGGGGCAGACCTGAACTTTGATGTCCTCTTGTGGCCAGACTGTCTTCATCTGTCATGGATATAAAGTCTTCATTAATCCTATACATGGCTTAGTGGGGCAGCAGCAAGGCAGACCACCTAGATGGATTGTAGGTTAATACCATTCCTGCTTTAGCCAAAACTATAGCACATTGTTGAAATCTAAGGTGTTTTACTGGTAGCCAACACCACACTTCTTTGATTTCTGTTGATAATGGAGGTGAGTTTAACTGCATCAAAGTAGAAATGCACCTTGCCCTTTTTTCGTTTACTTCATACTGACATTCATTGCAGGCCATTATATGATTTTGTTTCATAGGCTGTGACAGAACCATACCAAAGTAGCCATTTGGCTACAAATCCAATATCTGCCTACTGGGTAAGGCAGCTGGGAGAAGGTTAATATATGCCCATATAGGCAGCCTTCTCTGACTGCAACAGCAACAGCTTATTTGGGTCAGTACATTTAACTATCTCCTATATCTCCAAGTACATCTTTTGGTGGCTGTAGCCAACTGGCAAGACGGCATCCCATAGGTAAGACACTATCGATTGGCCATCGAAGGTACCACCAAAGTGTCTTGTCTAGGTCTTGTACATGATACTGTCTTCTTAGTTAGTTATGACTTTGCCACCAAAATATCTGTTTGGCCACCAAAATATCTCATCTAACATCTCTACTTGATAATGCTCCATGGATGGGCTGCTCCTCTCAAGCTGGGCAGTTAGCAATACAGTCTTTTGTACCTGTCACAATTGAATTGTGTGTCTATAGAGGACGGCCCCCAACATCTGTGACACTATCTATACAAACTTTCCTGCATGGGTGATGAAGAAAAATGCAGGCTTTTCCACAGAAACAGATGATTCACTGCAACCACCTGTTCATTTTAACAGAGAATTTGAACAAGAGCAGACATGATTTTCTGGAAGTCTTTAAGAGTTTAATTCTTTCAAAGGACTTGTCTTCTTTTGAACTGTTTTCCTTCTTCTTGGTAGATAGCATGGTTAATGAGCTGTGATACATTAATGAGTGTAGCCTGCTGGGATGTCGGATGGAGACATTGTCGCGTGCCTGTTCGCGTGTACAGCGTAGGGGCGGAAACATTGTCGAAGTCTTCTCTATTGTCATGTTTTCGTGTTGCGTAGAAGCAAGGACCTCCTAGGCAGGCTTCCGGTTAGTTGCAGTATCATCATTTCTTTCATATCTATATAAATCATGTTTTTCTAAGGCAGAAATGTTCTACTAGCCACTATCAATGGCCAACTGATACAACTGTTATAAAGGTAAACCTCACATAACCTGGGTGAAATGATGCCATCCTAGTTAGATTACCTGGACTTCTACAACTCCTCCATCTGAACTATATGTATACTATAGGAGCACTGGTAAATGCTTTGATTTGACAGATGATCTAAAAACTATGTAACTCTCATGACACCTACACCAAACCACACCTATATATTTGTGCCTTCACATTTTTACAGTATCAAAAATGGTCAATGTAATAGCACATCTCTGTTAGCCTAAACCAGGCCTACCCAAGGAGTCCCCAAGCCAATTCTACTATGCATAGTCCCCTATGAGAAGACCTGGTGGAGGCTACCAGTTGAGGCACATGCAAGGGTTGGGGACAGATGTCAATTGTCATAATTCACACAACAGACAGAAAGTAGCTTTGTGATGAGCAGAAGCTTGTTAATTTGGCCAGACAAGCCTTTGTGGTGAGGACCACTGCAGTGGCACAAGTGTGAAGACTGCAGAGGGTGGGCACTTGACTGGGAGTGATACAGAAATGGTTGTCATCTTCTTCCTCAATAATGCTGACAATAGACAGATGGCTGTCACAATGTTTTTACGGCCGAGCAAAACCTTTTCAAGCAGATGCCAAGGCAGAGAAGCAAGGCGTCGTCTCCTGATGGATAGTTTAGCAGGCAGGCGCCAAACTTGTACACCAACAATGGTCCAGGATTGACTGTAATACTTTTACGACCATACCTAATGTAGAGGGTGTCGGGTGGTGAATGATGGGTCTAAATGGGGGATTGGGGAGACATTGGCGTGCAGGCGCCAACCGCCCTGTGGGGTGGGGCTCTGCATAGGGGGTAGGGGGTGTGATGGGGGTCATCCACACCTACATGTTAACAACACAGAACCCTGCTGGTTAATGGAGTCAGCACAATTAATGAACTCACGTGGACAAACATCTGTCAGTCTAACCCTCCTCTACTGTTTGTGCTAAGGTTATATCCTTGTTCCAAGTTTGTACTTGTTTAACAGCAAGAAAAATGTTAACCGAAGATACACTATTTTCTATGTAATGGTGAGACAAGGGCTACCTGGAAAATAAATTGTAAAAGCAAACCTTCAACTGTCCAAGCAGATGTATGGTTTGGGTTAGTGTTTTACACGTTTTGATGCTTTTTACACCTCTTTATTGTAGAACTGGGGGGAGAGAAAGAAATGCAGATCAGGTAAGAGGTACAAATAAAACAAACATGTCTAAACATTCTCAAGAATATGTATGTGGAAAACATTGACCTAGACCCTTGCGCTTCAGCTAATTTTGACACGTTTTTATTGGGCTCCACTGGTATCTTTTTTTGGGTGTCAAATAGATACTGCCTTGCCTTGCCAATCCGCTTGGAGATTGTCAGATATCAGTGATCCAACAAAAGGCTCCTGGCACCTCACTGTTTATGACCCCTAACAGCGTTATCACCAGGGTGTGAATAGACCAGAATGAACTCACCTCAAAGCCTGGACATCTGTCCGGACTTCCAGAGGTGTGATCTACACATGGGGACCAGAGTACAGCAGTGGGGGTCCTATGGACTGATCAAGTCATATACAGTATATACATGACATAACATATATTAGAGGTAAAGCAGTTATCCACAAATTTAGGTGAAGCGTAAGAATGGGTAGTGCCTTGGATGAGGCTTGTGTTTTCTCAATGAGTTTATGTGCAGAGCTTTGATGCCTGAAGCTTATACCTGAAACTCTTCATAATGGTGCCACTGGCTTCAAAGGCTGACAATCCTAACTTAGTAACTACAAGTATGTCACTTTGTCAGAGTATATGCATGTCAGGACACAGGGCTGTTTACTGGGGTGAAGAAAAGTTGATCTCAAAGATGACCTGTTTGAAACTGGGTAGTATTGGCGACTCTACTGGTAGAGATTGTGATCGGAGTCTTTATTGACAGGATTTCTGACAGTACAGCCGGTGATTCTATGGGTAGATCTGGAGAATCTCTTGTCTACAGCAGAATCTTTTGTCTACAGCAAATTCAAGCCAAAAGTGATCTCTACTGGTACAGTTGTAGAATTGCTGATTCTGCTACATTGCAATCACTACCCTGACATATGTCTATCAACACGTGTGCACGCTCCGTTCCCAGTCTATACAAAACTTGGCACCGTTTCTGAAAGCCTGTCGTCACCCCCTGCCGGCGCCACTGACAACCCCCCCCCAGCAGGACCCCCCTGTAGCCAGGACATCACGCCAAGTGTAGCCGAGATGTTCTCTAATAGACCCATCACCAACACCTTCTCCTGAAATGACAGTTATGTTCTCAACAGGTTTCCGCTTCCTTTTTACAGTCGTTCTTCAATACACAAGGCATATATCACTCCGGCCACAAGCAAGGATTAGCATGACAATTCACTACAGAGTTGGAAAGATTCTATTTGTGGTGTGTAACAAATTTGTGACAATCTATTTCCAGCTCATTAGCTTTAGATGTTGTATATCATCAAGGAGTCTTATAGGGATGTTTCTTGAAATCCAAGAAAGGAATACTGTAACAGTGGCTTTATGCATGGTGATGTAAATCCATTTTTATGGATGACAGTGGCATGTTTTGTGTAAAAAGTTGTCAATTGTTAGTAGTTATTAAGCTGAAAAAAAGAGATACTAGTATATGTATTTCTCACATACAGCATGAGAGGGCATCAGGCAAAGTAAGAGCCCCAAAACTGTAATTTTGGACTACTACTGGTAACTTATCTACACATAACATTGAAACACTCATAGGTTCCTGAATTTTTTTTGAACTTACAAAAATGGAGCAAGGAACTCCAAGAAGCATGGAATGAGATTTTTGTGACCCTTTCTTCCAAATTTATAAACTGCAGACCTAATCCAACAACCAAGAGGGTTATAGGGAGACAACGGTGTCTATTTAGCAGCTGTTTGGTGTGTGTTAATTTTTTATTGACTTTTCATCAAACAAAGGGACTGGTGTCGTTTATTACCACAAGAACTAGAACAGACACAAAGGTCATTATCTGTCAATTAAACCTGCCTCCTGAAACCAGCAGTGAAAGAGAAAGACATATGGGAAACAATAGGAAACCACCCCATGCAAGGTGGTAATAAAAATATATGATTGGCAAAAATTTGCATGGAAATAGGTGCAGCAGTGGCTGGCAATTTGTGTGCCATGTGCCAGAAATCTCAAAGGACTAAAGAGTTGTACTTCTTTCTGTGCATGCTGTTTTTCTGAGCCTTGTTATCACATAATATGGTTACTCTGCAAAATGTATCAGTATGTAAAATTTGTTAAATTGTATGTAATTGTACATACTTCTATGATACTTTTTGTGTGTGGAGTACTTGTTTTACACACAATTACAGGTATACCTTCAGTGTACTTGTTACCCTGGGCCCCACTGTAATCATTTAGCAGTGGCCGCACCACTGAATTGAGCTACTCTGATAGACATGACAGAAATTAACTAACAAGTAGGAAATTTGAATTCCGTACTAAGAGTATAGAACCTAAGAGACAGTCTTTACAAAAACTCAGGACAGTCATTTAGGGCAGTCGCCTTTCAAAGAAAATTTAATGGTTCAATTTTTTTACTTTATTTCTTTAATTTGTAGAAGGAAGTGTTGGTTTCAGCCTTTCTCTAGGGGGTAGACATTATTGAAATAGATAGGATCTCTATGGGGTATTCCCTGCCAGTCATGCTGTAATTAACGGCACATTTTCAGACACATGTCTGCCATAAACAGCTGGGGTTCAAGGTGTTTCCATATGAAGGTATAAAGCCCCCCTGGGGGCCCCGGGGGGTAAGGGTTAAATCAGGGGCCATAAAACTTCTGAGCACTGCAGAGACCTTTTGAAATGACTGCATCTGCTTACTTCTGTATATCAGATCTTACACTTTTAGTCAATAGTTCTTTAGTTCTTGGTTACTGTATTTGCTTTTCATGTCAATTGTTTGCAATTACCATTGAATGACATTAAACATGAAACAAGTTTTGATTTGAGGCTATCCTGGACTCAAAAACCTGAAGACGGCAAAAAATCAAACCTATATCTCTTGTCGTATGTGTGGGGATTTCTGTTCAAGCCAAAAATTGGTACTTCAATGTATTGGCTGTCAGAAGGCACTATACAGTACTAAAGTGCCCCCTTGCACTTCAAACTGGAGTTGCAGGTTGATTGCCACCTACATTTGCATTACAATCTAGAAGACTTCTGAAGACCATATGAAGTGTGACAAATTTGGAAACAGGCTTTAATCTGTGTGCTCCTTTAGAGAAACCATACAGAAGATCTAACCATACGGCTGAAAGAAAAATATTTGCCATAATTCTTCTCAATATGTTTATATATTTTAGGCTGTATGATCTGAGAAACTTTATCATTTTGTTGAGACAATGATCAATAAATGAAAGAGGTTACATCCCTATCTAAAAATACTATACATAAACATTGGTTACATTAGGGTTTTCCTAACTTTAGTACAATCTTTTTTTTTTATTTGTGTAATAAGGGATGAATACTAGTAAGGATGAGAGCTAAATGCAGTTGTTTCTCTCACATACATGTACATTGTTTGCAGTAAGATAAATAAAATAGCTCATAATTTACCACTAAAAGGTAAGCAAATTTTTGTTTTGTCTGCTGGAAAGAGCATATTTGCTTTGTCTACTTAAATGAACATGAACAGAACAAACATTAACAAAACAGAACCAAGGTTTAAACGCGAATCATGATGTACAGTTAAAAATATGTGTAATGTAAATTCATTTACTTTGGTGAGGCTCTAACTTTGCTGCAGGACTGTGGAATGGAGGTTTGCTGTGTTTCATAGTTGAAACTATGCTAAATTCATAGTTGAAACAAAAACACATCGCAGGGATATGTATCCGTGGTGGAGAGGCATTGTAAAAATAAAACCATTGCAAATATGACAAAATTTACAGCAACTACTATTGAGTTTTATCTGACAAACTGACGTTTGTCTTTCTTGCCGACCTGCTTGAAGATGCGAGCTTTCTTCTGACCCTTCTCAACTTTGTAGCCAAAACTTCCCTCCCTCTTCTTCTGCTTCAGGGCTTTCTTACTGCTGGCTACATCTGAGGTCAGGAATTAAGGATCAACTATAAACAAAATAAGTACATAACAGCCTTCCCTTCTAACAAAAAAAATGACGGCAACAACAGAATTTGACATAACTAGACAAAAGGTACTAAAAAGTCGTTGACTATTGCCATGTGCTGTCATCCTACTCTGTCTGGACAAACAGATACATGTACACAAGCCCATGGCTCAGCCACCCAAAACAATACTTCCGTACCCAGAAATAATAATTCCCCAAAACATGACAGATCTTGGAAAGGATACTGAGGTCCACACTGGGTGGCACTTGGAAGCCGAATGACAGCGCCACTTTGGTCAGGTCCAGCGTATTGACATCGAAGATCTGCTTCAGGTGATGGGCGTCGTAAGCACGCACATAGGACTTGTATCCTTCCATGGCTGACTTGTGCAGGAAGTAGTTCTTGTCAATCAGCTTTTCAAGCTACAGAGAGAATGGTATCAGTCAGTATGTCCATGCTACTTTTGGAACTTTGGTTATGAAGAAAAGATCACTGATTTAACTACATAGCACAATATAATTACACTAAATTTCATACCTGTGGTTGGATGTCTGCTATCTTACTCCACGAGAATTCAAACTCATTCAAAGGGACCTGCATGGATGATAAAAATGACAAAGTCAGCTAGGTTTGCTACTGGCAAAAATCGTACATTCTCAAAGCATCTTATTGCTAAATGTTCTTGATTTTGCTAAGAAACAGGTATTGCAAAGAGGAAAACATGCTGAATTTTTTTCAGAAGAAATGGTACCTTGCAAGCTTGCTTTCACTATGAACAGGTAAACAGGAAACTATGCTAAGTTTTAGAGGACAATGTTACCTTGGCAGCCTTGAGGTACCTGAGGAAACCCAGCTCCTCTGGGCGCAGGATGAGTAGAGCATGACCTCTCCCCCCTGCCCTGGCTGTACGGCCTACTCTGTGGATGTACTCCTGAGGCAAGAGAAAACAAGAAATTGGAGATTTCAGACTTCCAAGTCAACCATGACTGTCCTATAAATCAACTGTCAAAACCACCTCTCACTCTCCAGCAACTGTTGCCACTCTAGAACACAAACATACAACCTCCCCTAAACCAGTGTCACCCAAAACAATACTTCCACCTGCCAGCAAGTGATGGATTAGTAAACCCATATGGAGAGGGGTTGTATCATAATGAAGAGAAAATGTACAGAAACCTTTTAGGAAAGGTTTCAGAAAATAATCTGACAGAAAAAGAAGAACGTCAGCCAAACCATGGATCTTACCTTGGGGTCATCTGGAGGGTCAAACTGTACGATCCAGTCCACCGCGGGGATGTCCAGACCTCGTGCGGCCACGTCAGTACACAGCAGCGTCCCCGTGTCAGAGTTACAGAACTGGAAGAACGTCGTGGTTCTCTTGGTCTGCTTCTGACGACCCTGTAGAATGTTATGTCTAGCTTAAATAACAAGATTGGACCACAAAACGCTGAACTACAAGTAGTTCTTCTGAAAAAAAAAATCCCACTAGGTTATCACATTTCCTGTCTTCCCTTACTTCCATCCTACATGTATTTGCATGTCAGTTGCCTTATGGGAGCCAGAGGGAAGTGCATAGATAGAATCAGTGAGAAATTCACAATAAGGATAAAGCAAGAAATTAGTAAGAATTCATAAGGTATGTGATCTTCCACATCTTGTTTAACTTGGTACCGTTTAGGTGTAAATAACAGTAGTGGAACTAAAACAAACGTGCAAAAACCCCATCCTACTCACATGTATGGCCATGACAGGCAGGTCGATGTAGTTGAGAAGTTCGTAGTGGTACTTGACAGACATGCAGGAGGAGAAGAACACCATGATCTTCTTCTTCCTATTCTTCTTAAGGAACGTGAAGAGGAGGAGGAACCTCTTCTCTGATGGGCACACAACGTAACCCTGAAAACAGATAACCAATGACAATGGTCAGAGAATTAGCCTGAAGACTGAGGTCTGGTATCCATTTTACACCTGGGTGGACAGATAAAGTTGTGTAGAGTACCTTTCTCAAGGACACAGCATCAAGCCAGGATGTAAGGGATCAAACCCGTGAGCTCTTTGTCTCATGTCCACTAGCCTAAACCACTTGACCATTCAACGCCATAAGCAACAGTAACTTTGTACAAATTTCTATCAACAAAATCAGGAAGTTCGCTGTAGAATTTAGAAAAAAAAAGAAACATTACCTGTTCAAGTCCTTCCACTGTAGCCTGGTCCTTATTGTCGTCCACTCCCACATACATGGGTTCCTTCTTCAGGGACACTCGGGCCAGATCCTCAATCTTCCTGGTCTGTGTGGCTGAGAACAGCATGGTCTGTCTACGCTCTGGGTGGGGAGGGGGGCAGCAGGTTAGATACATGTAGTGTGTCTGTGCAAAACTAGGATTTTTTCCTTGGATGTTTTCTTGAAACATTTCACAATACTGAAAAAATCATGTTCAACACTTACTTGGAAGTAGCCTGACGATCTGTTTGAGTTCCTCTTCAAATCCAACTTCCAGAATCCTGTCGGCCTCGTCTATGACCAGACACTGCAGGTTCTTGTACATGAACTGGGGAGTGTTCTGTTACAAAAAAAAAAAGAAATCAGAGAGTTCACATCCCAAGAATTGCTGTGAATGTCTTCTTTTGATTACAGTGGATTTCTCGTTGATTCTGTGCATATTTCACTGTCACACTGTCCCCCTCAGTTCCTGTGTCTTTACTGTCTTAAAATGACTATGGACAGACAAGCAAACATTACAGATACAAGTACATGTACAAAAAAAAAAGGTGTTTTGTTCAAATCGTGCTCTGCCAACTTTGCAAACTATCAATCTATATCTGAAACGAAGATAATAATGTCTATAACATCTATTTCTAAAATGTGGCTTAACTATTGAGAACATAGCCTGTGTCCTACCTGCATGTGGTCCAACAGTCTCCCAGGTGTGGCCACCACGATGTTGATTCCCTTGGCCAGTTTGTCTGCCTCGGATGACCTGCTGGTTCCCCCCATGATGAGCCCATATGTGTGGCAGTGGTGCTTCAGTAACTCCTTCAGTACCCCATACGTCTGCATGGCCAGTTCACGTGTGGGGGACAACACAATCACACCAGTACCTGGGGATTGAAACAAACATTGCTTCACATATCAAGTTGTTTTTGCTGGGAATTTATTTCACAGTTGAGTACAATGGGAAAGGAGGTTTTCACAGTGTTTTAAGTTTGTAGTTGAAACAATTCTGTAGTATTCTGGTGTAAAGTAGTAATTCATTGGAAATAAACATTTGCAGTGTCATAATTTGACATAAATTTAAGATAATAGGTGAAACAAAATGTGACCACAGTGAACATTTCAAGCCAGCATCACAGACCTCCAATTACTGTGCATGCATGCCCCCATCAGGGCACCACTGCATGTTATGGGAATAAAACCCACACAGTAATGATTATGAATGAACAAAAGGCTCACCATTCCTGGGCATGAACTTGAGTTTGTACATGAGTTCCACAGCTGGGATGAGGAAGGCCAGAGTCTTCCCGCTTCCTGTCTTAGCTGCAGCCAGGATGTCTCTAAAGGTGGACAGAGGGAGGAGGATCGGTTACTTCAGTGTTGAAACTTTGAGACTATTTGGAAAATCCATTGAGGGCACGCCACTTGACTGCCTGGGCTTCTCTACAGACAATTCTTACAATTGTTACTTATATTACTGAATACAGATACATATTGATATTACTGAATTTGACCACATTGACCTCCAAGTCCAATTCCTTCTGATCTCTGGCCAGCTTCTGATAACTTAAACTTTGACCTCCTATCATTTTGCCTGTCAATCTCCCACCACCCAACACACCTTCTGTCAACCAACTCTGTCAACCAACAGCTGGTGTGTTACGCCGAAGGGCGGTTATACCGGCTATACCGATACAGAACTCTGTCTGAACAAACAGATACACAAACTCGCAGCTCTGCCACTTAAAACAGTACATCGTACTTCTCTACGAAGAAGCAACTGATTTAACTGTCTGGTTTAAAACCAGTAACAACAGAATGTCTCACCTTCCCTCTAAGAGTGGAGGGATGCTCTTCGCCTGGATCTCAGTCATACAGGTGAAGCTCATGTCTGTCACGCCCTTCAGGGTCGGTTCACACACAGTCTCCTCCAGGGACGAGAACGGCACATCTGTCACTGGGCCTCGGATGGCTGGGGTACAAAGGTATGGTAAATAAAGCAGTTGACTTCAAATGATGAGCTAAGGAATAATTTTCAAGTAACTTGTTCTAGTGTATTCCAAGCTGTGTAGTTCAGCAAATTTTTCTTTTTTAGGTACAGGTACAGGTGTAGGCAAATGGGCCTAAACCTGTACCTAAACAAGAGCTGTACAATTACATGATACATGTAGTTAGATTTTCTATGGACTTCATCTTACCAGTGGGCTTCTTGACCTCTGCTTGTTTTTCCTCTGGTAGTTCTTTCTTCTCCTCATTACTCTCTGTGTGTGGAGAGGTCTGCTCTTCAGAGTTCCTGGGAACTTTTGCTGTAAAAAATGAGGACAGAAAACTTGGGTTAACCAGTTTTTTTTAAAAGTATCTTCTATAAAAAAAAACTGGCTGATACATGTATAACAATGTTCCCTTTCGGGAAACATTGATAATCAGAAAGGAATTCATCTCTTCCTTACCATAAGGAGTTTCTGGTGTGGTCGACTCATCCAGTTTCTCTACTTTTCTCTTCTTCTTTTTCTTCTTCTTCTCAGACAGAGGTGTGTCAGACTTCCTGTCCTCTGAGCTCCCCTCTGTACCTGATGTACCTACGAAAAAAACCAGAATTGTTATCATTGATGTTGGTTAGTATATAGTGTGTACTCTTCACACAGGAACTGGTAAGGGTGTCACAAACAACTACTGATACTCTGCTGCTTCAGTGGATCAAATTCTGTGGATCATGAGGGCAGGGGTTTGAACCCCATTCAGGCTTGGAGTTGCGCCACTAATCAATTAACAAATACATTTGTCGTTCAGAGGGGGTCTTCAGGCCGATGTACATGTACACTCATAGATTTACCATTTTGAACAGAGGTTTCTGGAACTCCGTCTTCTCCAACTTCACCTACTGCTTGTGTGATCTCGTTATTACTTTCCTCCTTCTCCATTGCTGTAGTAGAAGTTACTGAAACAAAAAAAAAAGCATTGAAGTGTAAAAATTATTCTACATATCTTTATGCTTTAACCATTCATGTAACATTAACATCCATGTCCATAATATCACCAGGGTCCATAATATCGCCACCTTGAGAAAAAGTGTGCTTAAAGATATTTTTACTGCAACATACCCTACGTATGTACATTTGAGGTGTGCAGGAGTGCATACCAAAAGTATGTGGCAGTAAAAATATCTTAAAGCACACTATTTCTCAATAGGTGGCAATATTATGGACCCTGGTGATATTATGGACACGGAGGTTACATACATCCAACTTTATCGTTTATGAATGCTTACAGTTAAGTTACACAGTAACACGTTATATTTTTAAATTCTGCTTGGTCACTGCTTCAGTTTTAAGCATACATATCAACCTGTTGTTGTTTTCACTTAATCTGAACGACGGCCATAAACAACAGATGCGTCCGTAGGCTACTAGCATCATGCTTGCACGTGTTCCGGAATTTTCGCCCCCCTCCCACATCCCCGAAATCACACAATTAATTTCCTTCCAAAGGTCCGTGGGTATAGAAATTGTGATGTCTGGTAGACGAAGATTTTCCCTCTTAGATATCATCGAAAATCTGGGGTTTATACTCACGCTTTTTCTTCTTTTCTCTCTGTTGCAATTTTCTCCGAATTTTCTTCATGTGGTCCGCCATCTTGCACAACTCTCCTTTACACCGCATCAAAACGACAAAGGATTAGTTTATCAAACGCAAAACTTATCGCAATAAATAAAAGATTTCATTCATAAAAATATTTGGAAATGTGCTACAAACATTTTCATTTGTACATAGTTAGTTTGCATAAATCATATAATGGTGAATGTTGATAAGATGTATATCGATACTCTTAGGTGCGGTGTGTCATGACCTTCTTGAAAAATCATGGCGGCCAAGTGAGAGAAAGTCGATTTTCCCCCCAAAACTCATCATCTTCTCCAATATACTAAATAGCTAGACGTATATTTTGAGTCACAATGTTGACTCAAAGACTCATGCACCTCACCATTTCCTCAAAGTCGAGTTTTATTCCTGCAGTTTGTTGTAATTCGGCTCGAGTTGTAGGAAATTCACAGGCAGTCTGGGATAGACCATGTGTTACAAGGGCACAGCCAAGTGAGTAAATGGTTTTGAAAATTCTGACTGTCGAGGAAGAAGTAAGAACGATAGATCGTAGATTAGCCCATTCCCTTTCGTCGCCTAGAACTTTGTATTTTCTCTGCAAATTACATGTAACGTTGCATGTCGTGTCAATCTTTAGTGCTTGTTCATGTGGGGAGGGGGGATTGACTTCAAGCTTCACTCAAGCACAAGGCACCAAGAGTTAAATACCTAGAGAGACTTTTTGACTCTGAACTGAACCACGCGACAACGAGCACCAAGTGACCACGTCTAGCGATATATTAGACGTTAAACAAGGACAACAACAACAACAACGAAATTTATATGATCAGAACATGATATTGATTGCCATTCATGTATCACGCAGTTCACACATCTAGCCAAGTCCATGTTCAGCAGAGGTTTGTGGTGAAACGAAAACAGAGGGAAAAGAAGCTACGAGAAGGTAAGGATGTCAAGACTGACAGATGTGTTCAGTGCAATTTTGTTTTTCCTCTTAAACCTATTCTTCTTATTGTCTAACAATCTACTAGTAATCCTTCTGTTTTTGTTGTATGTAATAGCTCCAACAAACCTACCAACCAATTGACTGCTACAAAAGTACATGCTTGTTTTTTTTTTCATGTCCAATAGCCCAGAAAGTGAAAATCATCAGCCAATTGGAGGGACTGGACCTGACTCAGTTTAAACCAGGTTGGGAGAAGAGCAAAGAGTTGCAGACGTAAGTATTAAAAGTCGCATGATGTAAAAAACAGCCATTCTCTCTCTTTTGTTTGCACTTGTTTGCACCATGTTGCAACCAGAGTTTACATATAGTTTACTGTTGTTTCAGAGCTGATGACACCATCAAACGAATCTTCAGTCTTGAGTTTGCCAGTAGTGTAAGTACATGTACATGTATTTTTCCTTACTTGTTACAACTGTTAGAAAACATCTTGTTCTGCTGTTCATTACTTACTTACTGATTTCCTGATACAAAACGATTATATCTATCAAGTAGGCTTGGCTCTACATTGTGAGTTTGTCAAATGTTTAACTTCATGTATTTAGGGTGAAAAGGTGAACTTCCTGAAACAAGACATGATCAGACGAGTTCAGAAGCATCCAAACGACTACAGATCTCTTGAAGTCCGAAGTAAGTCTTGTAGACTTTGCACTTACCACTATTATGTTGAAACTAAGAGCATCATTCAACTTCTTTGTACTGTTACCCATTCTCCTAACAATTTTCTTTCATCTCATGCTGATGTTTAACGTTGAAGTCTTTACAAATTATGCCATTGTTTACAGTTGCACACATGACAATACATCTGCGAGCTCTTCAGGAAGCCCAAGAAAGAGACAAGAAGGTAGGATGACCAGGGACATACCGGTAATACTACACGTACATGTATAATGTCCTTGAGTTGACAGTGTAGCATCGAGATACACTGTATACGGTGCAGTCTGCAGAAATGGGGTGAACTTTAGGGTAGATTGAAAGCACATGGGCAAGGGAAGATTGACAGGCAGGTTGTCAGGAAGTGGAAAGGTTCAGACACAGGAACTGGGGGTGAATTACTTCCTGGAAGTCTAATCTTCCCAATTTCTTGTTCCTTTACAGAACACCCTGCAGAAACAGCTGATGCTCATCAAGCAGCAGAAACGGGGACAAACTTCTCCGCCAGCTGCGGAAAACAAACTACGAGAGCTTCGAGCTGGTCTGCCGCGAGCTGGGCATCACCCTGGACCTCATGGACTCAGAAAGGATTCTCAGGAAGCTGAGCAAGAAGGGACAGCTTCTCCAGGACCACCGACAGAAGATCTTTGAAGAAATTCGCAGGAGGAAGAAGGAGGAGGAAGAGGCAGCAGCTATTGCTAACACTGAACAGGGGGAGGGGAACACAGCTATGACATCTTCAGCAGAAAAAATACAGTAGTGACCATTTTCTTGTCTATAAGGCAAGCAGTCATAAAATATATTCAGCGCAGCTGTGTTTTTTTCAGTTGTTACAAAGGTGAGCCAGAAAAATATCTGTCAAGAAAATTCAAGAAATGTATCTTGATAGTTAAAAGACTGATTGAAATGAAGTAAATAAAGTAGTGTACACATTTCCCCTTTGTTTCTTCATTGTTTATTAAGCAGTATCCACATCAATGTACAGGTTTGACAGAAAAAAAAATCCCATACAAAAGGAAAATATTTGTAAGTAACCATGGAAACTCTTGTTTGACCCAGTCAACTGTCAAAGGTAGTCAGTATATCACATTGCATGCCATTTAGACAGCTACTTTTAAGGCCCCATTGACATGTGTTGTAAGGTCTAGGTAGGTATAAAAAGGCCCTTTTCTGAAGATAATGTTACCGGTTTGTATTACACATGTGCTTGTGTTTGAACCTGTTTATTACACAGATATGTCACGCCTGACTGTTTATGTTGTAACTTGAGAAGTGACTGCACCCCCAGGTTTTCCTTTCTTGTTAGGATTTCCTTATGCATTCAGAAGAAATGATCCGGATATATTGTAAACGTCTTAAGTGTAAGGAAATACGTGCCTTTTAAAATCATGAGTGGTGCTCTGTTGTCTTGTTTAAAAGACTGGCGCACTTTCTCAAATTCAGGCAAGAGAGAAGAAACAAACCAAGTAGAAACACCACAGTAGTGATTTTCTCGGAGTGTGCGATTCTGTCATTGTCTAGTAGGTGTCTTCATTGCATCTGTTCTTCACTTTAAATGCCTCTTACACGAAAAGAAAAAAAAACAAACACGTAATTTCTTTATTAGTGTACATGCTCACTCAAACCCCAACACAACCAAAATTTATGCTGACTTCTAATTATATAGACACTGCAAATTTTACAATCAAGTACAGACTTTATATTACAGTATATCAAATTCATTGTACATAAATAATACTACTGGAAATTCCATGTAACATATGTATAATAACTTAATTGTCCCGCTATTGTAGGAAATACAGTGTCAAGCATACAATACAGCACTTATTATATATGGCAAGTAAAATTTTTATAGTGAAAAGAAATCGTAGGTGATTTCTTTTTTCTTAACGTAGCTATTGGTTAGCTACTTTTCATGCTTGCAGAACTGTCACATCCGCGTCACTGTCATTGTCTTTCACAGTGTTTTTTTGGTCATCCTCATTGTCATCATCATCATCGTAGCACGCGATCGAAACAAGCCTGTAAATCTGGAGCACGATCACAACGAAATTCTTCCCTACGAAAAACACCATCAGGTTGTGGAAGATTCTCTCTTGGATCATGAAATACAATCGAAGCGCGAGGAATGGTCCATCCTGCATCAGCAGAGTCATGAAAATACCGATGACTTCTTTAGTGCAGCAGCCGCAACAGTTGTTGTTTAAACGGTTGGTGCTCTTCGCATTGGGGTCTTCCACTGGTGATACTGAGTTGTTTTTGATCAACTTTGGTAGTGGTTTGTCATGAAACGAGGTGAACATGATCGGGAACTGGACCATACCAAGTGTGAACAAACCCAAGATTGGATAGATGTATATTTCCTTGTACTTGATGTTATCTTCATCCAGGAGGCTGAACAATTCCAAGATGTCCGCCCCAGCTGTGACGTAGACCAATAGGAGCTCGGAGAGCTGGTCACGTGACAGGGCGCTCCGAGGCATCACCCACCTGCCAAGGATGAGAGTGAGGAAGATGACTTGCTCCAGAGCTCTTACCCAGTCTTCCCCATTCACTTCAAGCGAGAGCTGTAGAGAACAAAAAATCAGAGACTCAGACTTCCAGATAGTATTTTTGGTTTTCGTGATCTTCAAGGTTGTTTTTGATTTTCATTAATGTATTGAAAATGTTGAAGGGATTGTATGATGTAATTTAATCGAGTATTACACCACTTCCTGAATTCTGCCACATACCACCCATTTACTCCCACCCGTGCTGGTTCATCTTCAGGTGTGACCTGTCTGTCAATCAACAGTCAAAATCACCTCCCAATCACTAAGTTGTTAGGACAAACTGAGACACAAACCCACAACCTGGCCACCCAACACAATACTTCCATACCCAGAAGTAACATAGTCTTGTGGCGTTCCTCTACTAGTAGATATCATGTCTGGTTTAGCACGTGTGGTAATAGGGAAAAGTGACGCACAAGCTATGGGTATATTCATAGAATTATCATTGTTTCCTTACCTCTCCGACCCTTATGGTCTCCTGGTGTTGGGACGTGGCGTTTTCCCTCAGCTGGACTCGTTCCCGGTGCAGTGTCATCTCCAGGAGCCAGACGGAGGGGATGGTGGAGGCCAGGTACAGGAACACAGCAGGGCTGAACCTACCAGGGTGGTCCGTTAACTTATTAATCACCCAGGTCAATTAGCCTCTTCATCTGGCATAAGTGTTCAAGACCGTTTTCATATCTACATGCAGGTTTTAAACATGTCGATTTTTTTAAATTTTCTTAATGTTCACCACAAAACAAGCCTCATGGGAGCCACTCAAATGTTTTGGGTTACTGAACAGACAGGACAGATGTTTGTTGACTTTAGGCTTGAAAAGATTGATTGTACATTGGTCTCTAATCCAGTTATTAACCGCAAGACTATGCAAAAGTCATCTTTAATCTTGCTCCTTTCCACACCATTCGATGTATAGGGCCGTTTTTCACCATAGAAACAATCTTCGTATATGTCAAAGGTGAAGATAAATATGGAGTTTTGGTACCCCCCAAATCTTCAATTTGCATGTCCCTAGAGTTCTAATTTATTAACGCACCATTTCCAGTCTTCTTTCCCTCTGTACAAGGCGACACACATCTCCACCAATATCAGAGCTGCTCCCAACACTATCGGCCAGCTGAGGTGCAGTGGGGGGTCGGTCACCATCACAAAAACCTGCAGAGATACACATGTGAGCAACGAAGACTTCTGCAGTAGTTCCATATCGTAAATACATAGCAAGCATCAATGTAAATGTCTGTTCTAAAGTCACAGAGAAGTGTACAAGAGAGTTAGTCACAACATAAGCCATCATATGCTTCAGCTTTGCGGTAAAACTATTGCATACATGTATTTTCCATTTTATATACAGTGACTGAGTGAGATGTTAACCTCCCTGCGGCCAGAACCAACAGAGAACAGCTACTTCGGTGCATTGTAGGTTAAACATTTCAAAACCCACCTCTCTGTAAGTCTTGTTAGGGAACATGAACAACAAATGTCATTACTTCTACCACGGATATAATGTCCTTGGTTCGACATGGTTGAAATGCGACATACCCTCCAGTAGCACAGTGCCACAGCCGAGCCGAACAACAAGCGGGCAAGGATCGTCCTTAGTGCCAAGGAACAGGACATGGTCACTCCGGTTATGAGGTTTGACAAACACGGTAGGTCAGTTCTAGACGTTGGCGCAACTTACTCAGACAAACTCAGACGGCCACACGCAAGGTTGGAGCTAGCAGTGTTTTCTCAACTGGCACTTTACCAAGTGGCCCACACACCTCTTTTATGTAGCATAGGTAAGCATAAAACAATGGGTTGGTTAACTTGGCTACTATATATATCACTTCCACATAGCTGCGATGTTTTCTCGGAAGGTTTTTGAGGGACTGATGATCTTTTGTATACTATTGTAGTACGTCATCTTTTGTATACAGATGGTGTAACATAAGTACAGTTTTGTTGTGAATGGGCAACAAACTTTAGCCTGGGTTCCATCCTCCGTAGTTTCCGCCCGCTCCCCAATGTCATGGTGCCCAGCGACATTAGGAATTGGGCGGAAACTACGGAAGGATGGGACCCAGGCTAAACAAACTTAAAACATCCGCTGCGATGTAGGTGGGATTTTATACCATGCAGCAGTGACATGTGTCAGGGAAGTCTGAAATCGGTTGCCTAAAGACCAACCAATTCAGTTTACGCCTTGTTAGTCTGGTGTTAGTTTTCTAAAGCCTAAGTTTTGGCATCAATTGCCTAAAGCAACTGAGACTTACATTCATCACTTTTCGTGCAGTGCCAGCTTTAGAATAACGAAATATATACAACCAGGAAGTAAGAACTTTAAAGCCATCCAATGATTCCCCAAGTAATGGCCAGTCCCTCCAGCCAAAGCTGTTTTGTTAGATTTTTTCTTTTCACAAAATAAATGGGGAAAAAGACCCATTCACTGATCCCCGGAATTGTGTCATACTGTCAACATTGACCATGGAGTGAAGTGAGCTACATGATACCCTCTTTGGTAACTGAGCTGCGGCCTTCATTGTAACCAGTGTGTCGGGATACAGGTTTTCTTTATATTTAGTCTGACAACATCACGCTTCTACATCACAATTCCCTACAACTGGTCAGGCCCCTAGAAGCTTGATGGCCAACACCTCTAACAAGTCCAAGTCAGATCAGAATCTTGTTGATATAAACATACATGTAGACCAATCATTGTAAGACTGACAACTGGTACTAGTGTTACTGAGCATTGGGGACTGTGATGACTGGTTTCCATAGAGAATCCTGAGTTCCTACTGGGCTGATTTTCATAGTGATATTATCCCTGAGCTCCTATCAGTTCAATGGTAGTTCCGGGAATGATTGTGTCGAGTTGGTTAGAGGGAAGATGTTTGGGTGATGCAGCAGTTCGCCCCTGTGCACAAGACTAACAACAAAACCGTCAATGGGACACCAAAGCCTTGCTAGTGAGAGGGGCGACTTGCAGATGGCGCAAAGGCTCTTAAAGTTTGATCAATGACTTAAAACAATACATTGACTGGATTCAGAATACCATCCAGTAAAACCGGTAAGCAATCCGTCTTCCATGACCCGAAGTATACTCAATCGTGACTGATTGCTTTTTTTCGTTAACATTTAAGATAATGCTAATCTCCAAGCTGATTTTACGGTGGTAAGACAATATCCATTGACCATAGACGTGTCCCTTTGCGATTAAGAACGTGTCACATACTTGCATGTAGCAAATCCCCACGGTACAGCTGAAGAGTAGGCGGGCGAGTATGGTCCTCTGCGCCGAGAAACACATGCTGGTCGCTCCGGTAGAACCCTTAACAGATGAGCTTGTAAGTCTGACACTATCACCCAGCCCAGACTTTGTCTTCCCCCTTGCGTAGATCGGATACCAAAACTGTTTTTTTTTTTAAGTTCAACATTTCCTTGTGGCATACCTTACATTGTATTGGTAATTATGAGTAATTGTGATCCTTTTCTTTGGATCCTTTGCAAGATGGATCACACTTAGTAGGCATGCACTGATGTGATACTAGAAGTTGTTTGCGCGAATTGCCTAACATTTTTTAAAACTTAAGACTAAATGTCGTAGTAAGTTGAATCAGTCAAATTTGAAGACAGTTCCTTACATTTTAGGTCTTATTTTGTTGTTCATGGTTCATTTTTGCTGTGCATGGTTCACTACTCAATAAAAACAGTCCTTTTTGGTCACCCCTGGAATAGCGCCAATGCCAACATTACTTGTGACGTCACTCATTGAACAAGGGACTGTGAACGTGTGCTCTTTTATAGCAATGTTTGTTGTACCCATAGCTATTGTTGACTAGTCTTTATCACCACTAAGTTCTTTGTAAGTTGTCTAGTAGTAGAGTTTGGATTGTCTACCTGGATGTCTAACCTTCATCAACGTAATGTGAACTGATATTTTCCACAGGTTTTGTTCAATATCCCTCCTTTCTCTAAACAAATAGGTCTAACAGCAGATCAACACAATGCAAGCCATTATAAGTTGTGTTTTTTTATTTTCTCTCTGCACAATGTGTGTACATCTGGTAGCCCCGTGTTCAGGCGACGTAGTGGCCGGCCTCCTCGATCTGCTTGTTGAGGGGCTCCAGCTTCTTGGACAGGTTCTGCATGGCCTGTGTCCGCAGTTTCTGTAGGGAGGAAAGAGACATCAGATGAAATTTGTAAAAAAAGCAGAGATTTCACAATTTTGGGGAAGCATTTTGTATAATAATTGTTTGTATGATAGAATCGAACCAGGCGTTACACCACTTCCCGTAGTGCTGGGTCACCGTCACCCCTTCAATCAACTGTCAGAATCAAGTTCAGCTAATTATTTGCAAGATAAACATGAAGCCAACTGTTTTTTTTCTCTGGTGGATCTTACTGCAGGTTGAATCATTGTGTCTCAGATGGTGGTACATGTTAGATTTTCTCACAGTCGAGACTCAAACATGAGTGGGTGAATGAATCATCATAGACACAAGTGAAAATAAAATTGGCTCCTTACCAGAGTGTCATACTGTAAGTAACTGATAGAAGACTTTTTTTGTCCAAGTTTTGATGTAGGTACAATTATAATAAAAATTTCCAAAGGACCCGACTTCTAGTGTGAAAAAAAGGACTATCAGTCGGCTATGTTTTGGTTTGTTTGGACATAGGTACGTCAGTTGTTCAGGTCTGGACCTGTACCCAAACAACTTCACCATTACGTACCATGGTTTTCTTCTTGTTCTCCCAGTACAGCTTAGCACGGGCAGAGCGTTTGGCCTCCAGAGTGTCCACCACCTCCTTGTACTTCCAGCCCACCTCGTGAGACAGACGGCCAAGAGAACAGAACTGTGGGAGAAACAGAAAGCCAATCGATAAGCAGGAGATTCATAGTTTGTAATAATTTTCTTCCTCTGACTACAAGTTTAGATGTACAAACTTGAAACAACTTAGCAGTGCAGTTGAAGTACAACACATGTGGTGTTGGGATTTTGCGGTAAGAGACCACTGTGAAAATAAAACCACCATGATGAACATTTCCACATTTACAGTACTTAGTACTTACCCTACGGTTGGGCATGAGGCGGATGATCCTCAGGGCAGACGGTACAACCAGTCTTTTTTGCTGAAAAAGAGAAAAAATTTCCCATATATTCCACATACAAAATTTGTATCACGGCTGTCTGATACTTACACACTAACAATGACAAGAACAGTAATAAAGATATACAAAAGGAAAGTGAGATTTCTAACAACCTTGGAGATAAAAGTCCTTACCTTGTCATAAGGAGGTGGAATGCCCTCAAAGACCTTCAAGCGTTCCAAGGCTTGTGCACCCCGGGTTGTCTTGTGCGGCAGCATGCCTGGGAAAATATGGATTTGCAGAAAACGTTACATCCTTTCTATGGAGACCACTTTGTTCTGTATTCATAATGGGGTTTCAGTGCAACATACAGACATCAGTAGGCTTGTTTTTACACCATCACCTGGCACTCTTTAGTGATTCAAACAAACTTTAAGTCATCATTTGTCCCCCTTGGCTGTTAAAAATTGAGTTTCATCTCCAAGAATATTTGCTGTGCTGTGAAATGGTAGCACTGAAAACTTTGTTATGAACAAAAAAAAAATATTCTGGAGATAAGTGGAACTGTTTGAACTTGAATGGAGTGCAAAAAACTGGTAAATTGCAGTTCAAGATTAGTGAAAAAATATTTCACAATTATTCCAGAATGAACTCAACAATTTAGGAACAATGAAACTTTCAGTGTGCAACCATAGCAAACAAGGGAGAAATGATGACTTATCAAGCATAAAAACAGCCATATAGGTAATAGAAACACAGACAGAAATTTAAAATTCTTTTGTGAGGAAGTGTTGTGTTAGATAATACACGTACCAGTTAAAACAACACAAATCACTGATACAGCAAAAAATACCCTTAAAGAATTCAACATAACAGATGGTTTGAGTACAAAGCAAACTCAAACAGTGAAAGGCGTTAGGGAGCAAGAGGCATTCACTTGCTAAGTGTTGTCTTTGTTGTTGGCAATGGTAACATTTTGCCAAGTGGTGTACCTTCCAAAGAGTTTTAATAGCCTCCAAAAATTTTCCTATTACAGTTATTAATTTGAGAGAAATGTGGTCTCAGTTGGTTTTATCTCTCACTGTATTCAGACAATGTAGGTAAAAAAGCATCACTGACCACTGAAGAACTTTGTGAAAAAATGTTTGAATGAACTTTGTTATCCCAACAACTGATTTGAATGATATCTCTCTAAATTCTAATGACACCACTACCAGAGGTAAGTCAATTTGGATACTAATGTCGAAACACTACATCTGAACTTGAGCAAAGTGAATGCCCCTTTTTGACGTGAAATATGCTGAGAAAAAAACAGGCATGTGAATATTTCCTTACCACGGACGGTCCTCCAGAAGATGCGGCTGGGGGCCCTGAGATGGAAGGGTCCTCGGGAAGGCTTGGTGTTCGTTCTCTTCCGCAGGAACTCCAAGTACTTCACTGTTGTTTGCGAATAGGAACAATTTCAGATAAGATCACCTAATTCAAAGTGTACAGAACTTAAAACGTATAATGATTATCTTATGGGAACTTCAAATGGCATCTATTGGAAAGAAAATGTGGCCTCAGTTGATTTTTTATCTTTCACTGTATTCAGACAATGTAGGTAAAAAGACATCACTGACCACAGAAACAAAACTCAAAAATCTTTTGTTTTGTTATCTGCTTAATACAGTTAAGTAAATGTAACTACTTACACTTGTTTCTGTAGAAGCTACCAGAAATGTTCAGCCCCTCACATCTCACAACGACTATTTTCTGGCCTACAGGAAAAGGACACAAAACATGACATCATTAACATGTTTAAGGCTTAATCCTACTTGTTGTTCTGTCTATAGTCTTTTTTAAAGACTAAAGACAGAACAACAAAAGGTCTTTTTTAAAGACTATAGACAGAACAACAAGTAGGATCTATTAAGAAGTCTTTGAGCCTATCTCTGGTTGAATCATTGTGTCTCAGATGGTGGTACATGTAAGATTTTCTCACAGTCGAGACTCAAACATGAGTGGGTGAATGAATCATCATAGACACAAGCAGAGAGAAAATATGCTCCTCATACAAGTGTCATGTTCAATGATCTGGTTGAAGAAATCTATTCTACCCTTGGCCAAACTATGGTCTCACCTTGCAGGATGCTTTTGGCAACCACTGCTGCCAACCGACCAAGCAGGTGGTTATTAGCGTCGATAATCAACACTTTCTGTAATGTCAAAGAGGAAGAAAATGTTAGTCACACGAGATATGTACATTAAGTAATACATACAATAAACCATAACTGTGTACCTGCAAAACTATGTCTTTGGTTTAAAGAAAAACTGAGTTTCAAAATTTATCCCATTGTGTCTCAGATGGTGGTACATGTAAAATTTTCTCATAGTCAAAACTCAAACATGAGTGGGTGAATGAATCATCATAGACACACAAGCAGAAGAAAAAAAAATCATAATGAGGCTTGGAGGAATATTGAGGCTGGTTTGACTGAAATCTTGCACCCTCCTTCAATTTCCTACTGGATAATATATAATAGTTTCACTTTGATACCTTACGCTTCCTTGATTGGTTTCCACCCCCCTCCCCCTTAGCAGCAAGTGTAGATTTTAGTGGGAAGGTCCAACATCCCTACAATTTATGCAGTGCTTGCGACAAAACCATGAAAGCTGAAACCTATCTGTAAGTTTCACACTACAATATTGAGTATCTAATATGATTTAGACCTCTAAGTTTCATTTTACTGGCTACTGGTATCCACATGTGTAGAACTGCATATCCACATGTGACACATACCGGAACCAAAACGTTCGTCTGTAACGAGATTTCACTCAATCTTTGGAAACTGTAATATGGACGGAAATAAGGGTATTCTGTATGGTTTATGACAGTATATTTGAGTGGGATATATCTGAAAGGAACGTCAAATTTCTGTGATATAGATGTGTGGTTCATTTTTCTACCTACCCCGACCGCCATCTTGGCCAAAGAGACCGGATCGTGGACGGGTTTCCTTGATGGCTTTCAGGGGTCCCACCACAGAAGAACGGTGAGAGTAACATTTGATAACTAGTACATAACCTGAAAGCTGACAAGTATATTGATATCTAGAAATCATTTTAATATGATATGAATACAAATGTATCCAGGAATATTAAGTTAGGGGAATATTTATATCCAAATTCCGTAAAAGCGATCCCATGCTACGCCACATTGCGATGCGTTGATAGGTCGGGCAACCTTCGTCTGCAGCTCTAGGAAATATCGCTAGAGGGCCGGATACCACGAAGTTGGAGATGGGTGAATTGCACGAAATTAAACAGGCGTTTTAAGTAAAGGGACTAAAAATTGATCTATTCAACTGTAATTAAATGATCTAAAATGCTTCGAGCATGCAGTAGGAGACTCACATCACATGTGGATAATGATTTATTGTAGAATGGCTTTAAGTACTCTTGTATTCTTCCCGCCATCAGCTGACTGACTCCGTGGCGCAACGGTAGCGCGTCTGACTCCAGATCAGAAGGTTGCGTGTTCGAATCACGTCGGGGTCAGGGCGATATTTTTGTCTTTTTACTTTTTTTTTATGAACACAAATCTTCTGTGTATATGTAAAGTATGTTCCTTTTTCATTAGAACTATATAATTTTTTTCATTTTCTTGATTCTTTCTGTCCTAATAAATTTCCTTCAATTGGTTTATATGTATTGTAACGTTATATTAATTTTACGTTATAGTGACTTAGGCCACACCAAGTAAATTTTATGGATGACCTCCTTTGGAAACCCTAACTAATGCGAGAGGGCGAAAAAAAAAAACAAGAAGGGCCCTAAAATCAAGATGCCTAGATTAGAAATATACTAAGAGACGACAAATGTTAGGACACAAATTGAATGAGGTGACACAGTGTAACAAGCAAGAAGTCTTTTATTCATCATCAAAACAGCAATAAATCAGGTGGCACAGCAGTTGTCGTCCTGTCCTGTTTTCGCGTTACGGGTTCCACGTCAATCTGACGATTTGCAGCACTGTCGTGACTCTTTGGTCATAGTTACAGGAAGCGGAATTTCTTGTTTTTGTTTTTTTCTAGGAACAGGCCAAAATCAATGCGCGCGCGGACGTCATCCATAAGATTTACTTGGTGTGGCCTTATATAGCGATGAAGGTTTTCATGTACATGTATACATATGGTAGTCTCATTATTACTCTGCACAAGTCAAAATAAGACAAGAAAACAGTTATACTGCGTTTGGCGTCGTTTATTTCAAATGTCAGAAAAGCGTTCCATCACGAACCACCCACTGGTAACCTTGCTCCCAGCCCGACTATAACAAACAAAAAACAAACTAACAAACATAGTTACATTTCTCTTCAGTACACATATTGTTCCCACCGTTGCACCACTTATGACAAGCCGTCGGTTTTTCCATCTATTAGGTCGTATTATCGAGCGGACTGAATCATATGCTGAGCTTACATAAGCTTTAAGAGCGGTTGAACGTTTACCTCCATGGTTGAACTATGCACAACATCTAGATATCTGAGTAATAGGTTGAAATGAAACTGGCCGCTGTGTATAATAATATGATAACATATTCAACCATTTAGGCGAAACTACGTGACAATTCAACAAAAACCACCGACTTTGTCGTATATAGAAAGTGCCTTAATAATTGTTCACATCTGCCAAGCAACTATCTTCTTCCAGGCGTATGTGTTAGAATTAAGTTTATATTCCGTATTGCTGTAACGTTATGTGAATCATGAAAAGACCCAAGGTTACGCTTATTCAATTTCTGCACATAATATAATGATATCATGATAAATGTAATTTGCAGATAATAAATCGTATACTACCAATAATAACCCTAGTAATCTCAAGAACGAAATCTTTCGTTATTGCAAAATCATCATTTATAATGCATAGCTTCTATCTATCAAATGTTACCATATCAATATATAACATCTGAATTTATTTTTGGAATTTTCTCAATTTATCACCTTACAAGTATATATAAATACATCTTCCACCGATTTAATAGACATAACAAGTCGTACAGAATAGAATAAATATGTTTTGTGTAACACAAACCGTTTGTCGTATGTGGAAGACTATTACGTAAACTAGAAAGGCCAATATTTGCTTTGGAGCAAATATAGCGATGGGTTCACCACATTTTACCACATGGCAGGGAAAGAATGAGAAACACAAGGGAAAACAATGCTTTACATTGATATAACTATAGTATGAAGTAACATACAACTAAGACTACAACAGTTGGATAGCTATTCCCTACATTATTGGTTAGGATTGCATAATGCAAACTGTTGATTTTCAAGATAAAAAGAAGCGTTCATAGCCCGCATTCCAATGCTGGAGCAGGAAAGCTTAAAATACCTACCAAAACACTTGAATACAGACATACTGTCAGTATGGCATGGCTCTGTGCAGGTGTAAATGAAGTTAAGCCAGTTAAATCCCAACAGCCAATCAGCAAGGAGAATAGAGGAAAGCTGCATGCCTATTGGTTGATGCCTTGCATGCCATTGTGATGACTCATGTCCAAATGTGGTAAACACTGCACACTTACACAGTAATACATTAGCTATTACACAGCCAAAAAACTCAAATAAAACCATTCTAAAAGCCTGTATCACAATAATTTAAAAACGCCTAGGGGTATTTGCCCACTGTACCTCCATACCAAATTTCAGGACCTTAGGCCCTAAAATGAAGAAGCTGAATCCATTTAAAGATATGGCAGGAGGAGGAGGAGGAGAAGAAGGAGAAGAAACATCAGAAAAAGCAATATGGTTTCACCACACCACTTCGTGGTGTGGTGAACCCATAATTATCATAACAACTATATTAAAGCAGATCGAGAGCATATCTTGTACACATGAAATCTATCGTAGGCTTAGTAGAACAATTCCCCTGCTATACCACACATACATAAAATACAGCTCATCTCCCAACAAATAAATAAATAGACTTATTCAAGTGTCAACTCCGCATTAAATGTAGTATAAAAGCTTTGGATAGATACTGAGTACTTTATAAGTTAATGGCTCGACTCGATATATGATAAGCCACTTTCATGGGTCAATAGCTCTTCAAAAGTTTGAGGTTTAAATATTGCCCCATAAGCACCACAATTAGTGACATTACTCATCAATTATGTTCTTAATTAAGTTATATGGAAGGACGTCTTAAGACAGTAACGAGGTCTATCCTAAGACCTGGACATTTCCATGATCATCTCCTCGGAGATCTTGAGTTGTCTGTTGAACTCGGCTGTGTCTCCCAGGATGACCAGGTCCCACTCCTGAACCTTGGCCTCGGCGGCGTTGGGAATCTTGGACTTCAGGGCGAGGGTGCCGTCACTGTTGTCCAGGACCAGGCTGTCCTGTAGAGCTGTGCGGATGAACCCGTCTCCATGGAGCTGAGAGGAAGAAGGGAGCACTTGGTTCAATAATGAGGCAAAGGGTTTCCGAAATACATGTACATGAAATACAGACACCCCAACACTCATGTAGACACAGACACACACAGACACACAGACACAGACACACACTTCTGAAATCATGTTTCTCAACTTACGTTGAATTACATTTTGATGGTTCAAATTGGTATACTTTTTTTTTATTCTAGGCCTTATCAATCCATAAAGTCTCTGTCACGGTACACAACAACTGAAAACGGCTGAAGCACAACTTACCACCCACTGCTGACTCTTCTTCCCAGGTACGGGCTGGGTGGCCACCACCTTGACGCCATCCTTAGCGTTTGCTCCCGGCACGTCCAAGGCCAAGTTGTTCAGCCGGTTGATGATCATGCCGTTCGTGAAGGACCATAGCTGCTCTTTCCTGCAGGGACAAATCCACAAAACATACGGTGAGACAAATCCGTAAGCAGGAGAAATGGAATGAGATGAAAGGAAGCATATCGACTCTTTGTTCAGCGTCCCAGAGTCATGGTTCCAGGCAGCGCGGTTTCCGTGAAGTATATGAATACCACTAATGAGATAAAATACGAGTACACGCAGATATTACAAGTACATTTGCAACTATCAAATGCTGCGATCCAAGAAACAGTATTCAATCACATTCATGATTAGTTAGCACTGTTTGTAAAGCTATCTACTAGTGAACATACTAGTGAACAAAACACACACACACACACACACACACACACACACACACACACACACACACACACACAAACAAACAGCGCCTAATGTCTCGACGAAAGTCAGGAATAGTCGACTGCTGAAGCTGTTAGGGACAATTAAGCTATTATTAGTGCCTCTAACTACTGCATGACTCTAACATAATAAACAACTAACTAAGGGCAACATTAGTCAGCGTAATGCACTTTGTGGCACAATTGGCTACAGATGTCAATGTTATTTTAATAATCAGTTGGTTATTTCATTGATTAATTGTAACACAAAGCCTGCTGTGGTGGATCTAAAAGCTGACTAAGTTGGTGAGCAGTTGGGCGGCTACAAAAAGCTGCGGTATTAGCGCGGTTTGAGGTGAGATGAGGCGTCTTGCTGTTTCCCTGTAGGTCTACCTGGGTGGGTATATCTTTCTCATCAGAACCACGTCTACGTATTTATCGGGAGTTGAGGTGGCCCTTGGTGGGCCCGCGTGGAGGCCGTTGACCTCCAGAGATGTCTGTCGTGCGGATAGGCCTCCAGCAGCCTGGTTTGATGCACTTGAACTCGTTACCCTCCTCTGTGAGTAACGACTGCTGGTCTGACTGGATGTTGATGACCGGTAGGATGAAGAGTAACCGGAGGAGGACTGCTGGACAGCACCGCCGGCGTACTGTCCCGTGCGAGCGCGGTCGAGGCTCCCGAATGCCTCGCTCTTATTTTGCTCTAACCTCCTCTGCGACGTTCGCGGGAATGTTCTGAGAGTATAGAGTGGTGAAGGGGTGGCAAACGGAAAGTTTAACAGAGAACATAAAACCACCAATGCAGAGATAACCATGTAAAGGTTGAACAAGATTTAAAATCCAGACGAAAATTGAATAGAGAAAAATACCGAGACACCAATCATTAGAAATAAGACGTTGTGATATGGAGTTAATGAGAGTCAAAAGCTAGTAATGCCCAAACCAACAAGTAAGAAAGCAACTTTTCATTAGGAAATAGAGAGTCTATACTTTCTAGAATCCACGGGAAAACACACGTTGAACAAAGATTTGGTGCTTCAACTAACTAGACGCTAATTGGTCCAGCATTAAAACATTGACTTCTACGTGTACGTACCCGTCAGCCTTAGACCTGATCGCTATCTCTGACTCCGTGACTCCCTCCCCAGACACCACGCCCAACGCCTGCCCGTCTTGACGGTTGATAAGGTAGAAGATGAACTTCTCCAGGGTACTCTTGAAGACATCAGACCGCTCTGTAGCAAAAGAAAAGATAGAATTCATCACTTTCTGCTGCTTCTAAAGAAGTGTAAACTAAAGACAGCACAGAAGGATCTAAGTAGAATGGAGACAGGTGAACGAACTTCCTAAGATAGACGTAAAAGTATGACATACCTTCCACTTCAATCATCTTGTAGCCAAGGTAGCCCGGCTCAGCTGTGGAAACATAAAAAAAGTAAAATCATATTGACACACTCATTGTACGAGTATCACTGAGTCTACTTTCATATTGGTAAGACTGTTACTTCTTTTGTACATCAAATCGGAAATCAATAAAACTGAAGTGGATGTCGAATAATTGTACACATTTAAGTAAATGTAGGCTAATCATCGATCAATACCTTCATCATGTGTATGATACTAAAGACATCATCGTATGCAAGTGTCATTTATCATTAGTAGTTTCATTGGGCATGGATGAGTGAAAAGTCTGCACTTACTCGTCTTCATGTGCAGTTCCTCTCTGATCTCCAATACTAGCGCTCCAGCTGCGTCGATAATCTGCGTTATCTTGACCTTCTCTCCTGCCTCTTCGATGACCTTGACCATGACCTTCTCCCCCTCCTTGATCTTGATGATTTCCTCTCCCTTCTTGACCTCCTTGATTTCCGTCATCTCCACCGCTTCCTCGGAGATGATGGTGATCTCCTCAATCTGTATCTCTGGGATGACTGTCTGCATGAAGGTCCATGGGGAGATCGGCTCCAATATCAGTCTGGAAACAAGAAATTGGAGATTTCAGACTTTTAGTTATTAAGTGTTTTCAGATCTAGTGAATGTACTGGAACTGCACTTTATGACCACCTAGTTGTAATACATTATATATTGGATTCATGAATAGTGAATACGTGCAAATGAAATGGATACGACATGGATGGAAGAAAACGTTTTTACATACTTTCCGTTCTCATCTGCCAGGAGGTCCTTGTAGATCCAGTTATCTCTGTCCGCGTCCATCTTCGCGTTCAGAAGCTCCATGTTCTTCAGCGCCAGCTCCATGATCTGATCGGCGGCATCTTCCTCCGCCTGTCAACAGTTTATATGCATGTTAGAATACGAGTTCCCACCTTCCCATACCGACAGATCTTAGAAGGCATTGTATCACTCTGTTGTGGTCTATTTATGAACGATTAACACATTTCCTTTGTGTCTTTAGGGGCCCAGTATTGTGTGGATTTTCATGAAAGCAAAAGGATAGTCACCTGGACCAGCTTGGTCTCCAGCTCTTCCAGATCCTTCTCAGCTTGATCAGCCCCAGTTGTTGCCTCCTTTTCTTTCTCCGCCAGCTGACCTTCCAGCTCCTTCAGCTGTAAGCATAAGGCATTTGCTGAAGTGAATACTTTTTCATTACCTCGACCTTTCGCGTTGACAATACGAGCAAGGTGTTGTTGAAAAGGTATTGTCACAGCAGATTCAGAACTAGAAGCAATTCAAACTGTTGCCTTACCAGCTTCCTAAGAGCTTCGACCTCATCATCAGAATCTCCAAGCTGTTTGTTCAGATTCAAGATCTCTTCTTTAGCCGCCAGCAGTGCGTCGTTTGCCTTTTGTAGTTGCTTAGTGAGATCATCAAACTGCAAAGATAAAGATCACAGTGTATTGTATTAATACACATATATGATGCTCATGAGGTATGCACACCGACTCTGAAAGAACTACTCTTGTTATGTAAACATTTATCACTGTCGTTGAATATAAAAAACCCATTGTTATTGATAGTAAAGAATCTCTACCTTATCTTTGTACCAATCGTCCTTGTCGTCGTCCTTTTTGTTTGCAAGGTCTGCATACTGCTTCTTCAGGTCGCCCAAGGCTGACAGGAGATCTGAGTTGTCCTGCGGCTGCACTATCACGGTTTCCTTCATAGTTGTTATCATGGTGGTCATTTCCTACGAAAACATTAGAAATTCATGATAAGCAAGGATGAGTATGATGTACACACCATCAACATAGCAGAATTGTAATACAGGAAACGTGTGCAAATGTTACCAATTAATTAATATTACTTACTTAACTTAAGTGAACACGCTCCATGGAGGAGTCCTGCATATACATCCCATATTGCATTTATCAGAAGATAAGGAACGATAAAGTTGATTGAATTATGACCACACTGAAACTGGCTTAAACCTAACATACCTGGGTCTTTCGTTCTAAATCATCCTTTGCTGCACCCAGCTGGTATGAAAGTTCCATGTTCTTATTGTTGGCGTCCGCTAGTTCCTGGAGAAGACAATGAATGCATTAAGAAATTAATATTTTCTATCAACTGTGGATTTCCAAAAGAAGATGAGTATAACAAAAATATGAGTATAACAATTGCGTTACCTTTTTCAGACGGTCAATCTCATTCTGTAGATCCTTCCTTTCCTTATCATCTTCGTCACCTTTCCTGTTAATGGTTTAAAAAGAGCATTTGTTTATAGATGTGATAAAAAAATCCAGTGTCCGAAAGTAACTGTTATGTTATGCATTTTGCATTTGCAACTTGTCGTTTCAAAATGTCATTATCACACGAATTATAAGCACTGCTAGTATAGCTATAGTGGCAACTGCATTTAATGATGCACATATGGTATGGATGAAATATATTGTGTTCTCTGATGTTTCTTCTTCTCCTTCTGCTGCCACACAGTCAAATGGATTCAACTCCGCCATCATTCAGCCAAATGACTTGAAATTTGGCATGGAGGTAGAGTGAGCCAATACCCCCAGGCGTTTTTTTTCATTTTTTTGATACATGCCTTTGAAAAGTTTTTATGAAGGTTTTTTGGGGCATTTTTTGCCAAAAAATGGATTTTTGGATCCTGAGCCCTGGTTTTACAACCAAATGATCTGAAATTCGGTATAAGGGTACCTTGAACATGTGTCTACAGAATAGCAGTCACATATTTGGCATACACCACTTCCAAATGACTCATTTGGGGCCTTTAATGGCTATTTTCAGCAAAAAAGGGCCAAAAGTGCTGTACCCGTTCCATGTTCTATCTAAAGAATGGCCGGTTCCATCCATGGAACACGTGTTCCATTGCGGGTTACCTGAGGTCACATTGCACGTAAGTCGTGCGGAATGACCCACACATTCAATCTTATGTGCCTATGACCTTCAAAATGTATCAAATCTCATCATTGTTAGTATTTGCATACCTGTAATAAGACTAGTAAAGCTTTCGAGATTCAATGTGCTTGTTCTTGCATCTTTGTTCTCAATTACATAGCTACTATATAATTCATTTATTTGAGAATCTTTGCCAGTTTTACACTGGGGTAAGTTTGGAATAGTCCACTTTTGCGTGGGAGGGAGATGGACTGAAATATGCTGTATTTGCTCCCAAGCAAATGTCGGCCTCTCTAGTTTTTCTTTGTCTCACAACGATATCTATAATCAAAATACACTTCATCACTCACAGCTCCATTTGTTGGAGTTTCAATAGCAGATCGTTGTTCTTTCCGTCAACTTCGTCCTTCGCGCTCTCCAACTGGCCGTTCAGGTTCAGGACAGCTGTGTTCGCATCGTTCAGTTGCTATAGTCGAAGTAAAGAAAAAAATACACCGATCTCATTCCTATCTAGTATGGTCCCACATGTCGTGGCCGTGGTGCTATTGGCCGTTTACGGTTTTGAAGAATTTTCTCTGAGCCACATATTAAAAACCCGATGAAGCTTTGTGGAGGATTATGTAAATCTTTTAGATGGGTTGTTTCAATGCTCATAAATATGCACCGATGCAGTCTCTTACCTGTCTGAGGCGATCCAACTCGTCCTGAAGATCCTGTTGCTGTTGGCCAGATGATGCCTTAGTCCTGTCAATGATACAAGAGTTATTTTCAACATATTCTATAATCCTAAATACAACTCGCAACATAAAGATGATACAAGCTTCTGAAAAGAGGAAGATTTCAGAGGAAACTTGCAGAAGATTTCTGTTCTAAGATCGCATACAGAAGTTGAAGCTGACTTACGTTTCAGCCGCTTGTATTTGTGTCACCTGCTGCTGAATGGTAGCATTCATCTGATCATTCTCCTTCTGTGCAGCTTGCAGTTGCTGAAGGTGGAGGAAGTATTATGAGTATATTATGTACCTTTGTTTGGAGATTATTTTTCATCCACAGTCTACCCCATCGGCATGTTCCATAATACTAGTACTCTTATCTACTACATTGGGGAAGTTAATGTCTTAATAGTAGAGGTGTGGATTTAAATACTCTGTTTTGCTTGCAATCAGAGTGAATAGTTTTCCACCATAATTGCTTGTGTTTGCAGAGGAAAGATGATGATACTAAAACAGGGTTAACCCAACGGAGTCACTGAAGCAAATATGTTATTATTTCCGGTAGCATTGTTTTCTTACCATTCTGAGTTTGTTCAACTCGAGATCAATATCTCGTCTTGAAATATCAAGCTGTTCCTGGTGCCTGAAAGAAGAATGAATATCATGATATATTTGTTCACCTGACAACAAATACATGTAGTAGATTTGCTGAGATAGTTTACTTTGCAGCAGAAACCGTACTAACATTGTTATATGATCCTATCTACTGTACCATGTATTGTATAGTGTCATTAAGGTGTCCTTTGGTGTGTCAGTGATTGATATATTGGTTTGTTTTTGTAGCTATAGGTCCTGTCATGTTGGTTAACCCAGATTTATCGTACTCTTTGTTCCTCACAGCATGGTTCATCATTTATAATAGGACGCACAGGTGTGCCACCAACCTTTGGGATTTCTACTTCCAAGAAAGCAGAAAGTACTAGTAATCAACTAGTTCAAGGACCAAGCCCGGAGTGGTCAGCGGCTAAGTCACGCTTATACATAAGCTACACCCATAACTATATTGTCTTAAGACATGAAGGCTAGGCCACAGTTTCCAAGAAGGCAGTAAGTAGTTTTCCAATTGGGATAGCGACTATCCCTAGGGGTCAGCCTGGAGCTATGCTAATTTTGGGTATGCATAAATGGTCGTCTTCGGTAATACCAAATCTATAGCCTTAACCATAGTATTTTATGTCATGAAAGCTCAGTAACTCACTCTCTCTCGCATCTTAGTTTGTTTTCCAGCTCCTCTTTGAGTTGGATGATTCTGGACTCCAACTCGATTCGAACCTCCTGTGGTTAGGAAATTGGAATATAGTTGAGGCAAACAATATAGAAAATCATACTGAAACTGACTGTAAATGATACGAAGTATGGAATCTTTCTGAGTGTTTTCTTACCTTTTTCACTCGCACAACCTCCTCCTCCAACTCAAGGCATCTGTTGGATTCTAGCTGGTATCTAAGAGAAAATAGAACATGTTTATCTGATGTCTATATTCTGATACTCCAACAAATCCTGATGGTGTATTGCTATGGATACATGAAAAATGCATCATATTCTTCAAGTAGTTGTTAATGTTATAAACTACTATTAACGTGTATCAGGACGGGATGGCACTTTTCTTATTAGATGTTCATCTATCAAAGGAAACTAGCTCGAATCTGGGAAAGGCGCTTAACCACATACTTCTTCATGGCTTCCTTTTCCTTCCTCCTGCTCTCGTCCAGTTCCTCGATCAGGGACTGTATGCGCATCTCCAACTCGCTCGATTTCTGCTCCAGTTCGATCTTCAGAGTTGAATTCAGGTGCAGGTCCTACAAAGGTAGTGAAGATGTAAGAGAGTGTCAGTTCCCACCCATTATTCTATGGAAGAATGTCGGTGGCTTACCCAAGATACTAGCAGTGTCCTTGCAACAATGTATGTATCACTGTATGTTTGACTTACCCTCTTCATGCGATCTATTTCAGACTCCAGCTCGTCCGCTCTCTCATTATTCCCTTCAAACCTGCAAGGATAGCAGAAGGTAAAATCTTACTATTTGTACTTGTACACTGACCTCGCTGTACACAGAATATGTTCTCTTCAAAACCAAACACTGTGGCAAGAATACGCTGTGGCAAGAGATACGTCTTAGTCATCGCTTTAATTACGTGATCTACATAAGAAGAAAAGCACAATATACTAACGTTTCCAGTTGCCCCTTCAGGTCGTCCAGCTCCTGAGCGCCATCAGCCAGCTTTTGCTCTGCCTCTTCCCTCAGCCTGTTTGCGTTTTCCAGTTCCTGGTAGTATGATAAAAAAAGTACGATTGCAGAATATGCTTCACATTACGTTGTTAGGAGCTCACTCTATTAATTGATAAATTGATATAGGGCCCTAATTAAAGGCTATTCGACCTTAGTACCTGTTAGGGTAATAGCTGTAACAGTGGGGTTCAAGCTATATTTGTTACTTTATGTAGTATCCGCACTGATTTACCCTTCTCAGTTTGTCCAGTTCGTCTCTCATCTCGTCTCCCTCCTGCCGCATATTGTCAAGATCCGACTGCAGCCGGTCCTTATCAGCCGCCATCGACCTGAACAGTACCAAAGGCATCTTTACCACCAAGAGTCATCATGTTAAAGACTCGTAAAGACATAGTGGTGATCTTTCAATGTACAAAGAAGCTAAGTTATAGATGCATTTAATTATAAAACATTGACTAGTGTACCCTATTATATTACACAACCACAACTTCTAATTGTAATGACAAGGATAATGCTTGACTCAATACCAAAACTCACTATTTGAAAATATATCCACAGAAATTACAATAGTCACTTGTGATTTACCTCTTCAATCTTCGATGATGGCGTCATGTATGCAGTTGAATGGAGCGCAAAGGAACACCGCAATCAGAGAAGAAGCAGGCAGCAGTAGAGGAGGATAGAAGGGATATATAGTTGACACCTTATTGCAGCTTTCAAACATGCTTATATGTATAAGCTTACATGAATGCATGAATGCAAAAATGGCGATAGGTATGGAACTTCGAAAGCGGGTATGCAGTATGTAGTAGACCAAGCACAGTTTCACTGAAGATATTTTAACGTTGTATTAATGGGCTGATTCATAGTGCTACCATAGAAGTTGCCCCGCGCCCATGCGTGAAATAGATGATAGTCTAATTAGCAAACATTACATTCATTTGCATAATTGATTGTCTTCAATGGTAGTATAATTACGTGTTGGCCGCCTCCTCCTTCTGTGTGATTTCCATCTTGGTGATGTGGATCTCCTGTCGAGTAGCTTCCAGAGACACCTCCAGTTCCCTTCGGATCGTGAGAGTTTCCTCCAAAGTCTACACCAACATGAAACCAGAGATTATAAACCTCCAGAAAGTAGGTATAATTTGCGTTGAATAGAATGAATAGAAAAGTGCCACTCTTATTCATAACCTCTATTCGGCTTACTATAACACTGCAGGAATCAGGTAAAGCAATTATACTACTAAACTCCCTACCATTTTAACGGTATGCAGTTCGTCTTCCAACTCCTTTAGCCTGTCTATTTCTCTCTCATACCTGAAAGGATGAACACACATTGTCAGTCTACAACTATCACTCTGTACACATAAAAGGTGGGAAAGGAGGAAATGCAATATACTGTATTGAAATACCGTTGTCCATGTACAGTATTCTACACAAGGAGTGAACTCACTCTAGGTGTTTATCCTTGGCGGCATCGAGTTCCTCTTGTAAGGCCAATATCTTGCCTTCCTGTTCCTCTCGAAGAGCATCTGCTGTCTTTAGGTCCTTTAGAAAGAGACATCATTATATTATGATCTAGTCCCTTATAACTTAGTCCATTTGTCACTATCTGTTGAAGAAACTATACAATGCAAGGGTTGTCAGTTCGATGGATGGCTAATATGATAAGAGACTTACCCGCTTCATCCTCTCTATTTCAGCCATCAAGTTCTGCACTTTTAGCTTCTCGTCGTTCAGCCTGAAACAAGAGTAACGTTAACAATCAGAATTGCGACACTTATATGATAACCAGGACAACAAATTGCCCTTTGACCTATGTACCTCACAGCAACGCGCCAATTCAAAATGGCGCGCGAAATCTTTACAGAAACTTCATCGTAAATTCTTCTTACTGTTGTTCATTTTTCAGAACTTTTGACTTGCAGATAAGACAGACAGAAGATTGACAACGGTCTGTAGACTATCACTGTGAGTGGGCGGTGTGTATTTTAGCCTTTTAAGGCTTCTAAAAGGTACGTACTCTTTCGATGCCTCTCCCTGGCCCTCCAGCTGTGTTGTTGTGACTTGCAGTTTCTGCCTCAGCTCTGTCTGGCGGCGCTTCGCCTCCTCAAGATCCTACAAACACAAGTTTGATTAACATTCGAATTTTTGATATGCCTAAGTTCTAGCAATTGCGGACACAATGGATTGTAATATCACATTGTCATCCCATTCTACATTGGCAATGTAAGGAATATTAGTCTCATAGTATGTTTGACACATTAGCAGTAGATAGTACTAGATACCATGCACTCACTGTACCTCGTACAATTGTCGTGCACTAAATTTTGTTTGCTTATAACACTGCCATACACATCTGGCAGTATAATAAGGGAACAAGTGAATTCGTGCATTAGATATTTATTCTACACACAATAAAAATGATAATGTTGGTGCCACACCTTCTTGAGCCTGTCAATCTCAGCCTGGAGATCCTTGTTCTTTGCTTGGTACTCTTCCATCCTATCGAAGAAAAGGTATGTTGTTTTCATTGACATTTTTCATTGAATTTATAGTATATAATACACAACTGTATTATCAACAGTTATATGCTGTGTTAGAATTTTTCTTTTGCCAACCAATTTTACAACTTGGTATGTTCCTTGTTGACTTGGACTGTAAGATTTTGATACTAGGTATCCCCTGACCCTGCTTATGAATAATACTTGATACTTACGCCATCTTGACTTGTAGTTTGTCTTGAAGTTCATTACGAAGTCCCTTAACTTTCCCCTCCAGTTCCTCACGGTCTTTGTTTGCTCTCTCCAGATGCTGTAGCAAAGAAAGCCAGGAAGCAAGGTAAAACTAGCCATTTATACAGTGTATATTTTGTTTGAAGTAATAGACGTAGTTCACAGCTCTGTATTCCTAAATAACAGTTTTTAGTCTACAGTTAAAAGGTCATAACATATGGCACAGGGTGTTGTGTAAAAGGGCAAGAAGAGAGACACACGCCCCCTTCTCCAGGTGGACAAACGGTTGTTTCATCTTGCATCTCGCCCATCGAGTTTTTGTTGCTCCAGGGGTAGTTTAACAGACCATTAGGTTGACCTCACGCTTGCCACAGATTACAAGAACGTGGTTATTTAGTCATCTGAACGTAAACGTTATGCGTATTTTTGAGAGATTTTGTGCCGTTATACAAACGTTGACAATGCTTTAAACATTGAAAATACTTCAATAGATGATTTTGATATGTCTGTGAGTCTGTCTCTTTATGCTCTATTAATTGTCCAAAGCACATTTTGCTTTGATTAATATAGTATACTACATATACCTAACCAAATGCAACCAAAAACTTCTATCTCTGCTATCCTAGTAAAATAACGCAGATGTGTGCAACATCTATAATCACATGGACTGACCTCTTTGACACGTGCCAGCTCATCTTCCAGCTCACGCCGTAGCCTCGCCTCCTTTTCAGCTCTGTAGATAAAATACGATTTGCATTATTAATAAATCATTTATAGGTCATCCGTCTCATAGTATAATCTGATGTGTCACTGTCTCATGGGAAACAAATGGATCGATGAAGGACGAATGGGTAGGTTAATGTATGTACACAGAGTATGAAATCTAGGTAGGTGGTAAAATAACAAGGTACGAAGTAAGATGGACATACTTGAATACCCAAGGGAGTAAGCCAAAACACCTGTATGGAATATGCTCACACTCTCCTAAAATATTTATTTCATCGTTAATAGACAATAAAAACTTAATGTGAGCCCAATAATGAGTATTAGGACTATGAAACTAAATTGACTTCAACGTTTTCATCACAATAGACAATTATCTTCACCAACATATTAAACCACCTACATTCTTTGTTTCGACATAATGGACGCCTATTACGTTATTTAAGCCTCCCTGAGCAGACATTATAGCCACAGGAAGTTAAAATCAACTTTTTATAAGATTGCAGAGGGTCCGTGTGATGAGAAGATTGCAGAATTCACAAACTGACACTTAAGTCAACATGACCTTTTTAGGGACCACATCAGCATTCTACTCACGTCTACATCGTCTATGTTTACAGGTGACAACCTCATGTTAAGTATGCAAGCAGTCTGGGACGAAAGGGCAACATCATCCATTACCAAGGTCAGTGTCTAATTGTGTCATACGAGTATAATATGTGTAAGCCTGCACGAAAAGCAATCACTGTCATAACAAATGCGGCGCCTAATAGGCAGTGTATTAACTTGGCACACGAAGCTGTTTGCTTAAAAAGCCGCTGAGTGCTGGCTATTAAGAAGTCAAGAGCTCTTTGAAGTTTGTACAGTGTTCACTGCTGTGCAAATATCCTCACCTAACCATCACAGTATGCTTTCGATATCCCTGTTACTTGATGCTTGTTTTATTTCCAGCTTACCGATTACTTAAGCATAAGTGAGGCAGAAACACAACCTAGAGAATTACATATTTATAGTGGCAGTAGCCTCAAGGCCTATGTGAGAAGTCGTTAAATTGTATTATCAGTAGTACACCAGGTGTTTTCTTCAGAAGCTGGTATGACACTTACAGTAAAGTCCCATTCAGAGGACTAAATCTCTAACAGAGTGGTGTGCAACCAAACAAGACGATAATAAACACAAGCGGTCAAATCAGGATGTTGGAGACTTGGAGACGAAGTCCACAGGGTAGAAAGGAAATGTGTGCACAAATGCCATAAAAACGTCCCTGTAATGGTGTATTAACAGTAACCTACAAGAAAAATATCTTCGAGCACACTTTCAGGACTTTAAATGTGAACTATTGTTGGTATGCTACAAGCTGCCAGGCTTCTCGAACAAATGACCAATGTTTGGTAAAGACAGCTGTGACTGTCAACAATATGACCTTTGACCTTGTTTACATATTATTGTTTTCATAACACAGAAAAGCAGCCTCCATACATCCGCATAAACATTAGATTTTTATCCTAAGAAAAGCAGATCCAAATTCCTACATTTCTTAGGTAACATCCGGCGCTACAACGCACTGTCTGGAGCTGTTGCCTAAGAACGATAACCAAATCATAGACCGTAAAATCTCAGGTCTCTCGTTAAACTTACAGGATTGGAACTAATGCCCGTGCTGGTGAGGGCACGGTAATGTCAAAGGCGAGCCCAGTCTGTATTGTCGTTGATTGATGCCTAAAAGCAGACAATCCCTGTCATTACAGGGCGGAGCCAGTGTTGTTCACAGTTGCACCAATGAAGCATGGGATACAAATGGCGGCTTGATCACCAGATGTCACATTTAGTTATCTTTAGAATGTTAAAGGTTTGGGGCAAACATGTAGTATCGACATTGAATGCAGCAATGCTGTTGTAGACCACTTACATGTTATACTTTTATGTATGTCAGTAAATCAAAGACGTGTAATATATCAAGTTTTTATAAACACGTTTCTATATGTTATTTGAAGACCATCGATGTGCTACTGACATATTTATATCTTGAACTGATACAGGTAATCAGTTCACGATCGTGTGGTACCTAAGAGGTAGTCTAATTATCTAATGCGGGTAACTTATAGGAGAGACTGTACGTACTTTTCCAAGGCTTCACCTTGTTTCTGTGTCAGGGCTGTTGTCTGCTCCAGTGAAACCGTCTCGACTCTTTGATTGAGCTGTCCGATAGCAGATTCCTTGTCCTTTATTTCTGCTCCCAGACTCTCTGTCTCAGCGATCAAAGCCTTGTTCTTGTCATTGAGCTGACCGATGGCCATGTCCTTGTCCTTTAGCTGTGTCCCAAGTTCGTTCACCTTGGCGCTCAATGCCCCATTGTTGTCACTCAGCTCTTTGTTCCTGGCTTCCAGGTCGTGCAGCTTATTCATCAAGTCGTCCAGCTGTTTTTGCAAATCGCTACCCTTTGATTGTTTAGCCGCAGCCTGACTAACTATGGTCTTGTTCTCCTCCATGAGTACAGTATACTTCGATTGCAGTCCATCGTTTAGCTTAGCCAGGTCGTCAGCCTTAGTTTCAGCCTCACCGCATCTCCTTTCCCAGGCTGTAATGCTAGACTTCAGTTCTAGATTCTCATTTCTCAGCCTCTTTAGCTCTTCCAATAGTTCATCAATGCGCATCTGTGCGCTGTGTATTTCCTCTCTTTTTGTCTTCACCTCCCAGTCTCTTTCTTGCAGCACGGCGTCTTTCCTTTCCATCTCCTGTCTCATCTTTTCGATATGACCTTTCAAATCTTTAGTAGTCGACTCGAACTTCAACCTCTGTGTTTCTATGAACTCTTTTTCACCTATCAGTAGTGCGATCTTCGCTTCTAGTTCACGAACCCTCTTCATGTAGCCTTCAAGCTCCAGATCCCTTGCTTGGGTTTGTCCATACTTAGAATTCAGTTCATCCTCACAGGTCCTGATTTTTGTCCGAGCTTCCCTCAGGTCATCCTCTAGGTTTCTGATTCTCTCAGTGTGCATGACAATGGTGTGATTTAGATGGGTTTTCTCGTTCTTACATCCCATGTGCTCAAGATCAAGAGCCCGTTTTTCCTTACCTAATGTATCTATCCTCTCCCTCGACTCTCGCAGCTCAATCTGTACTCTTTCTAAGATTATCATTTGTTTCTCGAAGTAACTGTTTTTCTTCTCCAAGTGACGTACCTTTGCCATGAAGGACGCTAGTCTGTCGTTTAGACCATGCATTTCTTCTTTGGCCTCCATCCCCACATAGAGAGTAGTACCCTGTCCTCGTATCGATCTCCCCTTGACATGATGGTACGACAGACCGCCGGATGTTGAATCCATGTGGAAGCTCCCTGCACTGCTACTTCTGGTGTGACTTGTGATTCTGACGTGACCACGGCCGCGACTTGCGTTCAGCGAATGGCCGTCTTCAACAGATCCGTCCGAGTAGGAACTCGACTTGTCGTCTGCGTCACCGGCAGAGTGGACCGAGAGTGAAGTGAGATCACCGCCTTCGCCAATCGCTGCTACGACAGTACCGTTCCCCGTCACAATGTCACCGTTCCCGGTCACCTTCCCCTCCCCTTCGGCCCCTGCATTCAACAAACTCTCCGTAGACGAATCCGACGTCGTCACAGACATACTAGTAGCCCCAGACGACCGCGACTCCGACGTGACAGCCGACACCGTGGTCTGAATGGAATAAGAATACTTGCCGCCCGAAGTGGCATCTCTGTGGTAACTAACCTTCTCCGACATGGTTAAAGTTTGTGACAAAAGTCGGGGGACAAACACAGCAAGACACGGCTTCCTTCTCAGCACGGCGCACCCTGCATCTTTCAACTGTGACGAAACAATGCGCAGGGCAGGGGTGAGTGTCCCGCCAGCGGATTGGTTAGGACGCGATCCCACAACAATTACCATAACTCGTTGCGATGCAACTCAGGTCTGAGGTGACCCATGATGAATACCGGGCACGTCCGCTCCTCGCCCACGGCAAATCAAATTCTTCGCAAACACAAAACAAGCTTTGGGCTCCATGTTCCCTGCTATACGGTCTGTGACTTGACTTGTTGGCTTTGGTCGCTGATGCGTTGGGTTTGAATGAGCCCCGAGTGCGTGTGTTGCCTTCTGACTAGAGTAACAACGACCTCCAGACATCTCATTATATTCCCATTTATGGAATCTATTCGAGCGAAACGCAGCCTGTCAGCTATTTCATTTTGCCGAGGGCAACACTGACAACAGCCACTAACCAGCGAACGTGTCAACATATATCTTTTATATCATCTGTAAATTTGGGGGGCTCCTTTTCCATTGACCTATTATGTAACACATTTTGAATGGTTCATCCCAACTTTTAAGACTTCTACTAAAACAGAAGGTTATTGTTTACGGAACAAAGACCCGCATTGTTTGCATTCCCATAAGTTCCGGTAGAGCTCTCACCAAGGTATACATTACACACCTAGGTGTTTAAAGCCACACAAATGTGTAGACAACTTGTAGGCAAAGTACGTTTTTACTGTGACATGAATCGTAACTCCTTTTTGGAATGTGAACTATCTCTCAGAGGTGAATGTGCCTAAGAAGTGCGACACGCCCATCACATGCTGTCACACCCACCATGAGTCAACGGACTGAAGCATGATGGGATGTGGTCGCCATGTTTAAACCGCCACGGTGTAAACAAGATGAGAAGGTCACGCTGAAGAGCATAGGAAGCGGAACAATTAGACACGGACAATTTGTTTATCGTTATTGAACTTCCTAAATTTCTGGAAGTAGCCTAAGGCTAGCGTCTTGACAATAATTTTTAAACATTAACACACCAGCGACTTTCTAAGATGGGGGGACCTCGGTACAAGGGGGCGGGGTAGCACCTTAAGGGCATGTTGTATGGGAAATGTGTAGTTAACGCACAGTCAACACTAATGAATTTTAAGCCAGCTAATTTGAACCAATCATCCAACAAACCAACAATTCATTACATTATTAAACTGATATATTCAAATTTCAAACCAATTTGGTTATTCTTTGCTATTAACCATGTAACACCTGTATCATCTATGTTTTGAATGTTTATATTTTCCTGTCGTGTTTTACATCTTGCTTTTATCAAAACACATGAAATATTCAAAAGCTTATCATCTGCTAACGTTGTTAAACATTTCTTAAAGATTATAACGGGGTACGGGTATGTCACGTGAATGACCGCGTGTGGTATGATTACACATGTATGTAACATGACACCCCGCCTAATTAAGATAAAACTATCAGTCTTAACTGGGAGATTATTTGTTATAACTGCAGGCTGTTGTTTCTCACACGAGGTGTGTATCTGATAGGATATAGAATTTCTGTCTTCAAAACTTCAAAAAGATTCCAACTCTGTTTGTACAGGTGGTATAGACATGTTTCCAGACATGGTGTAACCGGTTTTATGTCAACCTGGATATTCAAAGACTGGAACGAGACTTCTTGTGAGGTGGTGTAAAGCATAGTCAGCGAACTTATAATTTATATGAAACCCGGAGGCAGAAAACTGTCATATTAATAATGATGGTGTCAGGAAACCTCCCACAACTACTAAATATGGGTGCTTAAGTATGATACTAAATATAAATACCAAAAGACGGATAAAGCCACTGGCATGGTTTATAGATTTATAAAATATACACGTACGTATTAATTATGGAAGTCATTCATATACACAATGAATTAACGGTCTAGTCCGTTAGAGTTACTTCATTTTGTGAATAAGAATGACCCAATACCTTACCCACTCCACCATAGCCTTTATGCCAAGATTTATTAAGGAAGTTGAAACGTTTCTGTTGCATAACGTTAGTATGTCTTCTTAGGCTCTTATGAGGAACTAAGATAACGCAATTATTCATTTAAAAGAAAGGTATTATAAAGTGTACATTTTGTAATAGGGCAAGCTATCTATTCTGCTTGGGATATGGATTGTTGTAGTAAAGCACGCCATGCTTTGTGTAAATAAATCCGCAGCAACTGGGCATGTTCATGTTTATAGTGAAACAGTATACCAACAGTAGAGCAAACATTAAATGGTCGATAGACCTTAGCCATGTGTCCCACGAAAAAGGCAGACATTGTTTCCGGTAGCGTCCTCAGGCGATGCCATACACGATAAAAGAAGGAGGGGGTGAAATAGACGTTTACCGTGAAAGAACGCCCCCATGCTTGTAATACCACTTTACGATCATTTTAAAAACATGGCAGAGAGGGAGTTTATGTGTACTGGGTGTAACCTTGGCGTTGTCAGACCCGTGAGAAATATTTGCGTCCCACACACTCCCAACCGCAGGAAAAGGGCCGGATGCCCTGGCAATGTGTCATGGGGATGTGCTTCCCATAATAATGACGAACAGATGAAATCAGCATCCCAGGAGAACGAATAGACTACTATAGCCGTAACACGACACCACACTGACAACACTACTCTAGAATCTCACAAGGTGATCTTAATGGTAGACGTTGATAAAAACAATACCCATGTTCGTCTACCTAATAACATATACTACTAGTATCTAAATCTAATTTATTGAATGTTTTGTGAGGTTCTCAACATATCTATTAAAGGAATACAACCATGGGCATGGCAACGCATGTTGACATATTTCTAAACATATATGTTAAAATGTGATAAAGGAATAAAACTAGTAAAACTCAAAAAGAGGTCACATGATGCCGGGAGTTGGACCATCATATGTATTGCATGTTCAGGTAATCATGATTCATGTGGTACGCAGGATGTATATTTCAGTAACTTTGTGTTATGCGAGGAGTTGACTTCAGCAATGATAGGATCATTATGAACATGGTTCAAGGACATCACGACATATAACCTGCATACCTGTCAGAGGTCAATGTGACCTTAGGTGATGCATTCCATTCTTTCAAATGCTTGTATCTCAAACACCAGAGGATCAACTAACAGTTAAGCTAACCTTTTCTAACAACAAACAACGGGGAAGTTTTGAGGATCATTTGTAAGTTGATGTTTTGAGGATTATACGCCCAATTTGCGCCCTGTTGCAAATGCAAACATGAAACTACGGCCTCGTGGGTAGAAAGAATTCTAAATAAACTTACTCGTTTCCAGTGCTGCCGTGCAGTTGCAGTCTTGACAATTCTTCTTCAAGGGACACGATCTTTCTTTTGGCATTTCGAAGGTCTTCGTCTTTTTCGTTGCCACTTTTGATCACGACCTGCAGTCGGTTTACCTCGACCTTGTAATGTTCTCTCTCTGATGTCAAATTCTCCAGCTCTCTCTTGAGCTTCTGTAGTTCCATTTCCACCCTGCCATAGTCATCAGCGTACCTGTCCCTCTCAGTGAAGGCAGCCTTTAACTTGTGCTCCGAGACGTCTAGTCTTGATGTGATCTCTTTGTTTTCAATCAACAACTCTGCGTTTCGTGCTCGCAGACGCTCTAGTTCGTCGCCACTTTCGCCCTCGGAAGCAACCTGTGTGTGTGAACTCTACTTTTAATTGAGATAACTCTGTGCCTTACAGTCTCCAATTGGACTACGTAAAAGTCCGTTTTCTTCGTTCCCTTTTGATCCAGGTCTTCTTGTAGTCGTTTTAGTTGGCGCTCTAAGTCCTCGATGAGGTTATCCTTCTCGGAGAGTTTGTCGTTGAGTTGATTTAGCTCTCCCTCTAACTTTGGCACCCTCGTGCCTGCTTCTGACGATAACTGTGAAATTTGGAAAATCTTTCTCTCGTCATCTGTGACTGAAGTTGCTGTAACTGAGCTTCTATGCTACCCTTCTCCAATAACGACGCCTTAAGTTTCGTTAGTTCGGCTTCTAACTCACCCACCCTCCCCCTTTGTTGTTCCGCTGACTGGTCATTCTTTGCTTAAGTCGTGCTAACTCCCCTTCCAACTTACCTTTCTCCCTCGACAGAGCTTCTTTTTCTCTATTACACTTTCCTAGGTCCCCCTCTTTCTGCTTGACTTCACGCTGGTATTTATCCCTCTCAGCCTGCATATCTTTCAACTTCTTTTTCAACTCATCTAACTCCTTCTTTAGCTTCTCTTTCGCAGTTGTTTCTCCCCTTCAACTTACTTGCCTGTCTCTCTAACTCTGCTTTTGCTCTGTTCTGTTCGGAAAGCTGCTTTCGTAGCTCTGCTATATCTCCTTCTAGTTTCTTTTTAGCGCCCCCAGCGTCACCGGCCTTGTTTTCTAGAAACTCAGACAGCTTGTTTCTTCAGCTGTGAAAGCTCAGCCTCTTAGTTTCTGTCTAGCCGCCCCCTGCCTCACTAGCTTGTTTCTGAAACTCAGACAACTGCTTCTTCAGCTGTGAAAGCTCCCCCTCTAGTTTCTTTTTAGTGCCCCCTGCCTCACTAGCTTGTTTCTGAAACTCAGACAACTGCTTCTTCAGCTGTGAAAGCTCCCCCTCTAGTTTCTTTTTAGCACCCCCAGCGTCACCTGCTTGTTTCTGAAAATCAGACAGCTGCTTTTTCAGCTGTGAAAGCTCAACCTCTAACTTCTTCTTAGCTGTCCCGGCATCCCCCAGCTGTCGCTGATGTTCGGACAGCTGTTTACGTAATTGAGCAAGCTCCCCCTCTAGCTTCTTTTTCACGGCCCCTGCATCTCCTAGCTGCTTTTGCATAGTACTAATCTCTCGATCCTTCCCAGACAACTCCCCACGTAAACTCTTTAACTCCGCTTCCAGTGTACTAACCTGTTTGGACGCCGTCCTCAGACTTTCCAGTTCCTTCAACAGTTTATCCCTTTCTAGCACCACCGATTCGTGAGAAACGACCAAACTCTCGTACTTCTCCCTAAAGCCACAGCAGCGCCCCTCCCCCTTAACCTCATTCTTAACGACTACCGCATCGGTCTTAGTCGTCGCTTGACCTCCATTGGTCGTCACCAGGTTCTGTTGAACAACATGCTTCTCTTCCTTCACCACGTAGTGGACTATCTTGCCCTCTCTAGTCTGTTTCGAGTAGTCGGTGATCATGTTAACACAGGTTCCTTATGCACGTCCTCGGCAAACGCGGTTCAGTTCCCAGCAGTCCTTTAGAAGTCTTGCCAAACGCGAAAGCCGCCGACACGCGATTAATTGCCAACCACCTATCACGAAATGCAGATGGCGAACTCTTTGACCCCCCGAGGCAGACTCCGTGTTTCTGGTCCCTCCTACCTATTATACTGGATAGCCCGGAGAAGCCAAGAACTAGTTTTTCTTTTCCTCAGGTGTAAACCGACTGCAGGTCATCGCGTCTGTTGTCCCTTTGGTTCTCCCGGTCCGTCCGAAGCCTGGCCGAGCCGCGTCTGTTCCATAACATGAGCCTATTCAATAGAGGTCACGCGGCAATGACACGCAAAGGGGCGTATGGGTAAAGGTCTATACGCCGAATAGTTTGCATAAACACCCCGAGGCTTCAATAGATAATATGTTCAGTCATCGAATCCTAGACATGTCTGAATATCAGCATCTATTGCTATAAATCTTGCAAACTCAAAAAAATAGACCTCTGCATATTGTCTCCGCAGGAATAAGCTACAAAGCTTATGCTAATTTATCCCAATTTTTATAGATATGTCGAACAATAGAAGGTGTGGTCTGCTCAGACGAGCAAGCTTTGTGTCGAAGACCAGATCAAACCAGATGTCTGAAATAATGCGAGCAGAACACCAAACAATCCTCATTCATGTTAGATTATCAGTAGTTGAGTAAACTACGATCATCAATTGTAGGAGGGACATCAATGATCAGATGTTTTCCTCTAGATACTAAGTAAGTTTATCGCAAAATGCCAGGTGAACGTTGGGGTTCATTCATTCGTAAATAACCTGTTTGTCATACAGTATTATATGCAGGGGAGGGGGAATTTCTGCAATAACAGGTGTCTTAAATATGCTAAATAAAGACCATCTCTTGAGCTGCTACCTTACGCAGTTAGAACAATGATAACAGTAGTAAGTAAAATATTGTACCTATATACCCAACAAGTTTGCATGTTAACAGTGACAACTTTTTCAAAGGAAATGGGCGATTACCAGCGCGATTGGTGCTGTATGTAGAAGCTGATATAACATGTAACTAAAAGTACAAGTCACATCAGTTGGTCGCGTTCTTGTATCTAAATGTATATTTTAGTGTGACTCGTTTACTTATGAGCTAGACTACGTCCAATAAAATTAACTCATGGTGTTACACTGTAAATGTATTCAGATCTAAAGCTTGGAGTTAGAGACAGTCATCACGATCCCAAGGCCTGCACCAAACTGTCCTTCCTTGTATCCCCTCACAGGAAACATATAATTCATCATTCGACAAGTCATAAAAAAGCGTCGTTCTGGCTTTGCAGACATTCCAGACAGTATTCTTAGCTGTTGCCCTGAGGTCCATGGAAGAACCCAGCCCTAAGGCTCTAGATTGGCCGGGACAAAGCACAAAGCGTATAGGAATGGCGTCAAATTGGACTGAGACAAACGCAGAGGGGTGTTGAGAGGTAATTATCCTTTTATCACAGCTAAAAGGATGAATCAACAGAAGTGAGGAAATGTAGTCCTTTGGGCGAGTATAATGAGTGGCCTGTGCAGAAGGTGGGGACTCAGTAAATTCGCCCTCCTATTAACCCCACCTGCATGATAGCAACAGACTTAGTGTTGTAAGTGAACAGGTGTAGATGTGATATTAAATATACACCTGGGGGAATGACGCTTGCTTGTGATCGCAAAGACTTCTAAGAAATCAACATGCCACGAGCCAACCTAAATAATACATCTCTAGACTACGACGTATCATAACGATGCAATTGGCTAAATACAAGGAAGATATACGTATACAATACTAGCACATACCAAGAAGCAAGGTACGCCTCTGAAGACAATATAGGCAATATGACAGATTTCAATAGAACAATGACATACTGAAAAACAGACATCAAATGTAAAGATTCAGTATGACAAAGATGTTGGTGACGCCGGAAGAGATACCACTTGAAGGAGGGGGAAGGCTTTTCTTTCACAGAGTGGAACTCGGTATGGTAAGACAAGAGATATGGGTCCCTTTATTAGATAATTGGGACTCGGATGGGCAGGGACTAGTTTCGCTTGCAAACTCCCCTGTGTTGGGGGATGATTATTACTTTCGTTGACAGATTGCGCTTTTATTTCAGTGCTATGTGAAATGCTAAACACCATTTGAAAATGTAGCTTTTTATCTATGTAACAACAGTATCAAACAGGTAAGTCTATCAAACATATATGAGGTTAACACTTACTGCGTGTCCAAGGTGCGCTGTAGTTGATCATTCTCATCAGTCAGATCATCTATCTTCTGGAGCGCAGCCCTCAACTCGTCATCTTTTGTCTTCCCCTCGTCTTGCACTGTCTTCAGCCTATCTATTTCAGACAGGTATCGTTCTATCTCCAAATTGAGCTGATCTAGCAGACGTTTTAGGCGTTCAACTTCATCCTCCCACCTTTTTTGCTGTGATGCTAGGTCGTCTTTTTCCTGGATAGATTTACTGAGCTCTTTCTCTGACACTTTGAGTCGAGAGCTGATCTCTCGGTTCTCTACGACCAGTTCGGCGTTCTTTGACCTAAGCTTTTCAAGCTCGCTCTGTAACCATGACTTTTCTTCACCAAGCCTTTCTATATCATTACCGGCCTCTTGGGACTGGTTAAGGTGATCGTGTAACTGATCTTCGTACGTAGCGGTCTGGATAAGCAGTGTTTCGTTTTCCTCTCTAACATCCTTCAACTGTACTTGTAATCGCTCTCTTTCACCATCCAGTTCGCTTATCTTCAGCCTGAGGTCCTCAAGCTGAGCCTTAAGCTGGTTTATCTCGTCATTCAATGATTGCTCTGTGTCTTCCTTTTCTATTTGCAGGTTCTCAAAGTCTTCCTTCGATTGTTTCAGATCATCTTCAAGACCTTCTTTCTCTCCTTCGAGGTCGGAAATCCTGTTCTTCAAGTCAGCTATCTCAGCTTCACTTTCGTCTTTGTGCGTCTTGTAAGATGACTCCAGTTCTTCCTTTTCGAACGACAAACTGTCCAACTTTTCCTTCAGTTCTGCAAGCTCTTCTTCGAACTTATTTCTCTCGGCCTCAAGATTGGTAATCTGCGTATTGAGACCTTCCACCTCGTTCTTGAACGTGTCCTGTTCTGACGCAGTTGATGTTTCCAGACTCTCTTTCTCGCTTCTCAAACTGCTGAAGTCTTCTTTGATCTCTGTCAGCTCGCCCTCCAGACGATCCCTCTCTGCTTCTAGATCTGCAAACCTGGTGTCCAGGCTATCCTTCTCACCTTTCAGCGTCTCAAACTCCCCCTGTAGAGTATTGAGTTCAGCCTGTAGACGGTCTCTCTCTGCTTCCAGCTCAGCCAAACGCATCTTCAGGTCGTCCATTTGAGATTGCCCCGTGGACTGAGAGTCCAAGAGGTTCTCTTTCTCAGACTGCAGGCTCTCCATGTCATCCTTGGTCTCAGACAGCTCTCCTTCTAGTCGGGTCTTTTCTCCTTCCAGGTCTGCATACTTCCCTTCTAAGTCTGCTTTGTCAGCTTCCAGGCTTGCGTAACTGTCCTGTAGGTTAGTGAGGTCTCCTTGCAGTTTGCTCTTCTCCGACTCCAACTCTGCAAGCTTCCTCCTCAGGTCATCTAAATCAGACTGACCGGAAGAGTGGGCCGTCTCAAGAGTAGCCTTCTCTGCTTGAAGACTTTCAAAATCTCCCCGAACCATTGTTAGGTCACTTTCTAGTCTGTCCCTCTCCGACTCCAACTCTGCAAGCTTCCTCCTTAGATCATCCAAATCGGACTGGCCAGAAGAGTGGGCCGTCTCAAGAGTAGCTTTCTCTACTTTAAGACTTTCAAAATCTCCCCGAACCATTGTTAGGTCACTTTCTAGTCTGTCCCTCTCCGACTCCAACTCTGCAAGCTTCCTCCTTAGATCATCCAAATCAGTCTGACCAGAAGAGTGGGCCGTCTCAAGAGTAGCTTTCTCTACTTTAAGACTTTCAAAGTCTCCCCGAACCATTGTTAGCTCGCTTTCCAGCCTGCTGCGAATAGTTTCTTGTTCAGTCTTGTATGTTGTGTACTCTGTTTTAAGCAGTGTGAGTTCTTCGATAAGTTTGTTCCTTTCCATCTCAAGGTCTGACAACTTGACCTTCAGCGACGCAACGTCTGCTTCCCATTCCTGTTTGTATGAAGCGTTCGACTCCTCCAGACTAGTGACTTGTACCCTCAACGTGTCAATGTTTACTATGTTCTGGGCTACATCCTCGGTCAGCTTTGTCTTCTCATCCTCAAGTACCTTTATCTGTTTGCGCAGCTCCTCCACGTGGCTCTCTAGGCCACCTTTTTCCGTCTTAAGCGACATCTCAAGATTTTGCCTCTCAGTTTTAAGACTTTCCATTCCCTTGTTGGCCTCTTTCAGCTTGTCATTTAATGATTGTTTCTCTTTGTCCAAGACTGAGATTTTCGTCTCCAGCATTTTCAGCCTTGCCTCCCATTCTTTCCTCTCTGATACCAACGTCATCTCCAAGGTCGATTTCTCAGACCTGATGGACACCAGCTCAACCTCCATCACTTTTATGTTAGCTTCAAACTCGCCCATCTTTCCACGAAGGTCGTTAAGCTCCATCTTCAGCTTATCTCTTTCCGTCACTATCACTTCTTTCTCTGACCTCAGCGTCTCCAGCTGGGCCTCGAGATCTGCCACCTTGCGGTTATCCTTTTCTTGTTTCTGAGAACTTTCCGATCTTAGACTGTTACTCTCATTTTTCTCCTTCGTGAGGTCAGCAGTCAACTTCTCGTTGTCCTCCTCTAGCTTGAGTCTTATAGCTAGAAGGTCATCCGCATGCTTCTGCCACTTGCTGAGTTCTGCCGTTAACTCAGTGATAGTTGTCTCCAATTCCATCTTTATGGTGTAGCAGCTTTCGTGGTCTTTATTAGCCTTTGTTAGTTCTTCTGTTAGTTTGTTTCTTTCAGCTTCCGTCGTCGCTAGTCTCTTCTTCATGCCGGCAAGCTCTTCCTCCCAAGTCTTCCTATTGGTAGCCTGGGAGGATTGAAGATTGGCTATTTCAGTCCTAAGCCGGCCGTAATCTGCCATGCTCTGTGACACATCTCCGGTTAGTACTGCGTTTTCGCCTTCAAGCGAGGTTAGTTTACTTTTCAGTTCTGATAGCTGTTTTTGAAGACTTTCATTTACGGATTTCAGATTTTCGTAGTCAGACTCAAGCCTTGTTAGTTCAGTTTCTAGTCTATTGCTCTCCCCCTCTAGCCTCTCTTTCTCATGACTCATGTTATTGTACTCAGACTTAAGTGTTGTTAGATCTTCTACAAGTGCATTAGTTCTGGATTCAAAGTTATTTCGGTCAGTTTTGATATGTTCAGTTTCTGCTATACTATGAGCTAATTGTTCTGTGAGTTCGGAAATTTTAGTAGCCATCTCATCTACCTTTTGTTTTAGTGTGTCTACATCTGATTCTAACGTTCCCTTTTCTGAGCCAAGTGCCTTCTTTTCTTCTTTGAGAGAGTCAATCTCATTCCTGGTATCACTCAGCTCTGCTGAAAGCTTACTTCTCTCTTCCTCCAGTTGAGACCTTTGTTCGTCCAAAGCGGCATATTCTCTCCGTACCCCTCCAGTTCATCTGTCAAGCTTTGGATCTGTGAACCAAGTTTAACCTTCTCCTGAGTTAGATTGCCAACTTCTTCCCTGGCTGTCCCTAAGTCTATCGTCAAACCGTCTCTTTCAGAGTCAAGTTCTGACATCATCGATTTCAGGGACGTTACCTTCTCCCCCCACTCCTTCTGCTCGGATGAGAGCGTTTTCTCTAAGTCGTATTTTTCCGTTTTGAAAGCCTCTGCACTGGTCTGAGACACAGACAGCTCGTTAGTTAGGTCAGCTATCTTATTGTTTAGTTCGTTTCTTTGTATGGTCCATTTTTGCTGACTGGTCGTATGGACCCTTTCTAGCTCAGCATGTGACATTTTGAGATCCGAATGTTCTTTCCTCAGTGTTTTTAGTTCTGATTCAAAATGGCCTATAGAACCCTTCAGCTTTGTGGCTTGGTCTTCGCTATGCTCTTTGAATCTACCTAAGTTATTTTCCAGGTTCTGGATTGTCGTCTGGCTGTGGGCCTGTTCTATTGTCATTTTCTGTTTTTCCGATTCAAGCAGTTTTATGTCAGACTGTAGTTTCTCGCAATCCTGCTTACGCTTAGCCACTTCCGTTGTTAATATCTCATTCTTTGACACAAGGTCTTGTGTTAGAGTGTCAGAACTAGTTCTAAGATCATCACTCTGGACTTTGACCTGGTCACATTCAGTTATGGCCTGTGCTAATTGCTCGGTTAGTTCAAATCTGTCAGTCTCCAACTGATCTAGGTTTTGCTTTAGTTGATCAAGCTCAGATTGCAAAGTCTCCTTTACTGATTCGAGCTCTCCATGTTCAGTTTTAAGAGTACTCATGGCTGTGTTAACATTTGTCAAATCGTTTGCTAGCTTGTCTTTCTCTGCCTCTAGGTTAGATTTCTCCTCAGTCAACTTTGCATGCATTTGTTTGAGGTTGTCTAAGTCATCTTCCAGACGTTTAACCTGTTCGTTAAGACTGTTCTTTTCCTTTATGAGGTCGTCGGAGTTTATCCTTATTTCTCCCAACTCTGTGTGTAATTTGTCACTGACAGACGTGAGGTCTGTCATAATTGATTTCATCGACTCTTTTTCCTGCCTCTCTGCTGCAAGGGTTTCTTCCAAGCCATGTTTATCTGTCTTAAGCGTGTCTCTCTCAGTTTGTGATAGGCAAAGCTCATTGGTTAGGTCTGTCACTTTATTGCTTAGCTCGTTTATCTGCACTGTCATTTTTTGTTGCTCAGTATTGTTTACTCTCTCAAGTTCTGCCTTAGACGCCTTCAAGTCAGCGTGCTCTTTTCTAAGTGCTTTTAGTTCTGCTTGGAGTTGGTCTATTGTTTCTTTTAGCTTAGTTGTCTGCTCTTCACTTTGCTCTTTAAACCTTGCCAAGTTGGCCTGTAAATTTTGTATGGTCGTCTGTTTGTGGGTCTGCTCCAAGTTCATTTTCTTCGCTTCAGATTCAAACTGAGTCAGACCGGATTTTAGCTGATTCTTTTCCTCCAACAACATCTCGTTTTCCCCTTTTAGCATATCCTGTTCTGTTCTTAACATAGTAACGTCTTGTGTAAGAGTATTGATGCTAACCTCAAAGCCATCCCTTTCCGATCTAATCTGATCACATTCAGCAATAGTGTGTGCTAGCTTTTCTGTCAATGAGCCCTTTTCAGTTTCCAACAGATCTAGCTTTTGTTTCAGTTGATCAACTTCAGAGTTTAATGTTTTCTCTTTTGATACAAGCGCATCTCTCTCCTTTGTAAGTGAATCCAATGTGGTTTTACTTTCGCTCAGTTCACTTGTCAACTTATCTTTTTCTCCCTCTAGATTAGCCTTCTCCTCAGTCAGTTTAGCATGCTGTGTCTGCAAGTTTTCTAAGTCATCCCCTAGCCTTTCTACCTGGTTGTCAAGGCTGGCTTTCTCTTTTGTACGATCACTAAGCTCGGTCTTCATTGTGGCTAAATCTGCGTTTAATCTATCTCTTTCAGAAGTGAGGTCTGCTATGGTTGAGTTCATGGAATCTACCTTCATTTCCCATTCCTTTCCTGTCGACGCAGTAGTTTCTTCTAGCTCGTGTTTGTTCTTTTTAAGACTTTCATAATCACTTTGTAATGTGCAAAGCTCATTGGTTAGATCTGTTACTTTATCATTCAGCTCTTTTGTCTGAATTGTCAGTTTTTGCTGCTCGGTATTGGAAACCCTTTCTAGCTCACTCTTAGCTGCTTTGAGATCGGAATGGTCTTTTCTCAATGTTTTAAGTTCTAAATCAAGCTGGGTTATTCTGTCTTTCAGCTTGGTAGCCTGCTCTTCGCTGTGCTCCTTATACCTCTCTAAGCTAGTTTGAAGGTTCTGAATAGTTTTCTGAGCGTGAGTCTGTTCCAGTGTCATTTTCGTAGTGTCTGATTTCATTTGATTCTTTTCCTTCACCAACATATCCTTTTCCCCTTTCAGCATGTCATACTCATCCCTTAACATGGTCATATCTTGTGTAAGGGTATTAGTTTTGACTTCAAAACCGTCTCTTTCAGCTCGAGTCTGGTCACATTCAGCTATAGACTGTGCTAGCTGTTCTGTCAATGAACCGTTTTCATTTTCCAACTGATCTAATTTTTGCTTCAGTTCTTCAACTGCAGAGTTTAAAGTTTTCTCTTTTGTCGCAAGCGCATCCCTATCCTTTGTAAGAGAGCCCAATGTGGTTTCATTGTCGCTTAGTTCGCCTGTCAACTTTTCTTTTTCTTCCACTAACTTCGACTTCTCCTCAGACAACGTAGCATACTTTGTCTGCAGGTTTTCCAGATCTTTCTCTAGCTTTTCTACCTGATCATCAAGCCTAGATTTCTCCTTTGCAAGATCACTAAGCTTTGCTGCAATTGTAGATAGATCTGTTCTTAATTTGTCACGTTCAGATGTGAGCTCCGCTATCGTTGAGTTCAAAGACTCTTCCATCATTTCACACTCCTTTGTCGCTGATGTAATGGTTTCCTCTAGCTCATGTTTTTCCTTTTTAAGAGTATCATTATCACTTTGACGGATACAAAGTTCGTTAGTTAGGTCTGTTACTTTGTCATTCAGCTCTTTTGTCTGAATTGTCAGTTTTTGCTGCTCGGTATTAGAAACCCTTTCCAGCTCACTTTTAGCTGCTTTGAGATCTGAATGGTCTTTTCTCAATGTTTTGAGTTCTGAATCAAGCTGGGTTATTCTGTCTTTCAGCTTGGTAGCCTGCTCTTTGCTGTGCTCCTTATACCTCTCTAAGCTAGTTTGTAGGTTTTGAATGGTCTTCTGTGCATGAGTCTGCTCCAATGTCATTTTCGTAGTGTCAGACTTCATTTGATTCCTTTCCTTCTTTAACATGTCATTTTCTCCCTTAAGCATGTCATGCTCGGCCCTTAACACAGTTAAGTCTTGTGTAAGAGTATTAGTTTTGGCTTGAAAGTCATCTCTCTTAGCCGTGATCTGGTCACGCTCAGCTACAGTCTGTGCTAATTGTTCTGTCAGTGTACAGATTTCACCTTCCATCCTCTCTATTGTTTCTTTAAATGCTTTGTTGTCAGCGTCTAAAGTTGTTTTCTCTGACACGAGTGCATCTTTTCCACACTCCAATGCGTCTTTTTCCGATTGCAAATTGGCTATAGTCGTATTCATCTCCTCAACTTGTATCATCATTGTTTCTGTCTCAGTCTGTATGCTTAACCGCACTGTCTGTAGTTCATCAAATTTGGTTTTCCATCTCTGTAGTTCCGTTTCTAGATCGGACTTTAGGATCTTGGTCTCTTCTAGTTCAAACGCCTTTAGTCGTAACTGCTCTGCTTCCGTTTCCAACTGACCCTTTTCAATCTCTATCTTCTGATATTGCTCGATCTGCTCATGGAGCTTCTCTACTTCACTCTTTAGAACACCTTTATCCCTAAGTGTTTCGTCATGAAGGCTAACCTTTGCTTTCAGCTCTGCTTCGATCTCTGACAGCTTAGAATCAACTGCTTGCTTTTGTTCTGATAGGCTTTCATGAGCAGTTTTCAGTTGCACGTGTTCTTGAGTCAGAGTACTGTACTTTGTTTCAACTTCAGTTATTTTGTCATTAAGTGCCGATATGTTTCCTTGCGACTCAGCCTTTTCTGCATTCCTGGCCTCATCGACAGATTTTTGCATGGCCTCTAGTTGTTCCTTTTCTGTCTTTAGGCTATCACACACCTTGATACTCTCCGCTAACTCATCACTGAGTCTTACTTTGTCATCCTCTAATGCTGTCATCTGTTTTTGAAGTGTTCTCAGTTCTGTTTCCAGGGCACACTTGGCCTCTTTTAGGCTTTCTATTTCCTCACTTAGGCAGCCAATGTTGCCCCTTGCTACACCTAACTCCTCACTTAGGTTGTCTATCCTTTCAATGAATTCTAGCTTTTCTGTTTCTAGTATGGTAACTTTCTTATTCATCTGCTCTACCGTAGTATCCAAGTGCTGTTTCTCTAAGAAAATGCCACTCTTCTCCTGCTCCAAGGCTCCATGCTCTGCTTTAGCCCTGTCTAGCTGTTCCTCTAGATTGTCGTTATCATTTTCAACGTCTTTGATGACACCCATCAATCTATCTCTTTCCTTATCCCATGTCGTGCTTTTAGAGGACAGTGCCTCCTGAAGATATCTGTTCTCAGACTTGAGGTTTCCTCTTTCTGTGTTGACTTCACCAAGTTCTGACTGCAGATCCTCGATCTTAGCTTGCAGTTCCTCAGATTGCCCTTTCCATTTTTGCCTGTCAGTTTTGTAAACTGTGTCTAGCTGTGCCTTCGTTGCTTTTAGACCAGTATGTTCATGTCTCTGTTTTGTAAGGTCTGCTTCTAGCTGACTAACTCTCTCTCTAAGTTTAGACATCTCTAGCTCACAACGTTCTTTGTACTTTTCTCTGTTAGTGTCTTGCGTTCTTATACTGGCAAGAGCATGTGTCAACTCCAGCTTGGTCCTCTTTACTTCATTTTCTAACTCCATAACTAGTTTCTTTAGTTCGTCTCGATGAGACTCAAGTTTCGATTGCGCAGTTTTGAGATTCTCGTATTCTCTTTGTAACTTTCTCATCTCTACTATGAGACCGTCACGATCTGATTCTAAAGCTACTGCCTTCTCATTAACCTGATGTAACTCGACAGTTTGATTTTCATTTTCAGTTACCAGTTTCTGCCTGTCGTGGTCTACCTCTCTGAAACTCTGTTCTGTCTGCTTTAGTTTTGCATCAAGCTCATTCGCGTGCTTCTTGAGGGCGTCGAACTCAGCTAGTTTTACTGTAAGGTCCTTGACTTCGATCTCCAGTTTCACCTTAACTTCCTGTACCTCATACAATTCTTTAAGCGCAATATTAAGCTTTTCTATTTCCTCCACCATCTCATCCCTCTCAGTTTTGATCTCCTCGAACAGATTCATCTTTGTCCGTAATTCGAAAATGACATTATCCTTCATCCCACTTTCCATACCAAGTTCCTCTTTGGTTTGCTTTAAGGCATTGCATTCTGTCTCGAAGATGGCTTTTTGCTTTTTCATTGCATCGAAGTCTGCTTTAAGCGCAGACAATTTCTCACCGAGGTGATTGTTCTCGGTCTGAATGGCGTCAATTTTTGCCTCGAGGCCAGACTTGTTTTTTTCCAGATTGCCAACAAGTGTTTTCAACGTTGCCACTTCATCTCTCAGTTCGCTGATTTGGTTATTGCTTTCAGTTTTATCTGAGGCCCATGTTTCCCTCTCTGAAGCTAGTATGATTTCTAAGTCATCGTTTTGTTTTCTTACATTGTCACATGTTACAATGCATTCTGACAGCTCCTCTGTGAGTTTGCCATTCTGTTTTTCCAGTTCTGCAACACCTTCCTGAAACCTGCCTATTTCGGCCTGTAGATTTTGCTGCTGAACCAGAAGGGTATCTCTTTCCTTATTCAGACTGTCTACCTGATCTTTAGCACTTTGCAAAGATTCTGTAATTGGTCCTGTTTTGAAACTAGCATCGTCTTTCCTCCTCCAATGACATCTTATGTCCCTCTAACTGAATGTGGCTTGTCTTAAGTTGGTCTAGCTCCAACTTCACAGCTTCCCTCTCAGTATATAGTTGCGACTTTTCTTGCTTTAGGATGTCAACATCATTCTTCTCAGAACCCAATTCTATCGTAAGACTATCTCTCTCTTCGTCTAGCTTTGCCATCATAGCCTTAAGCTTTTTCAGTTCCCCATCCCAATTCTTCCTTTCTGTCGACAAAGTTAGTTCTAATTGGCTCCTTTCGGATTTTATCCTTTCTCTGTCTGTTTGTGCCTCACCTAGCTCAGTTTGTAAGTCCGAGATCTTGTAATGTAGCTCATCCAATTGCCTTTTCCATTTTTGATCGTTTGATTTCATCGTCCTTTCCAAGTCTGTACTTGTTCCTTTCAAATCCAAATGTTCACTCCTAATCTTACTATTTTCTGCTTTCAGCTGACTTATGGTGTCTCTGAGCTTTGTCATTTCCGTCTCACAGTATTGCTTGTATCCTTCTCTGTTTGTTTCCTGATTGCTGAGAGAAGATTTTTACATGCGTTAGTTCTATAGACGAATCGCTTTTTCGCTCTTCTAGTTCTGTTGTTAACTTCTTTAGATTCGAAATCTCTGATGCTGCATCTATGTTTAATTCCTTTAGCCTGTCGCACTCGCCCCGTGCTTTGGTTACTTCAGATATGAGCCCATTTCGATCAGCTTCTAACTTTCGCACATTTTCACTGAAGTTTTTAATTTCAACCTGCTTGATTTGATTTGCCTCTTTAAGCTTGTCAAGCTCTGTCTGTAATTTGGCGTTGACTGCCTGCAAATCTGCAAGTTGCTTCTGTAGTTTATTTCTGTTTACTTCCATCTTTTCCAGTTCCCTTTTCATGTCTTCCTGCCTTGCCTCTAACGTTTGTTTCTCTACAACCAGTTCATTGCGTTCTACCTGTATTGCTTCAAACAAAGCCATCTTGTTCTCTAACTCGAATACCTCAGCGTTTCTGGTGTTAACTGAGACTGAGAGTTTCTCCCTCATTTCTGTCAGCATCTCTTCCTGTCTATCCATCTCTTTTTCTAAGTCTGCCTTTTCAGATAGTAACGCATTATGCGCAGCATCCAACTGTTGTAGAGTCTCTACAAGCCTGGCTATCTCTTCTTTAGAATCAGCTAGTCCTGATTCAAGGTCATCCCTTTGTGTCTTTTCCTTGTTGTAGTCGTTACGAAGCATGGTTTGCTCATCAGACAGCCTGCTATACCTGTCATCCATGTCCACCAATCTACCTTCTAATTCTCTTACCTGCTTTTCGAGTCCGTCCGTTGTTGCTCTTAGCTTGTCATTTAGCTTGTCATTTTCTGTCCTAACATTGGTCAGTTCGGTCATAATCTTCTTGTTCTCTATGTCCATTATAACAAGTCGCTCTCTTAAACTTTCGGTACCTTCCTGGAGGTTGATGCTCTCAGCCCGACCCTGTGTGAGTTGGTCAATAAGCTGACTGTTTTCTGACTGCATGTGTTTGTGTTTGGCAACTAGACTTTCATAGTCCAGTTGGAGTTGCGTTAATGTGTCTGTTAGTGTGTTTCTCTGCTCTGCCGTTTCAGTCAACCTGTTTGTCAACTCATCCAGTTCTTTACTGAGACTCTCTTTCTCCTCTCTTAGAGAGGTGTTTTCTAAGCTGATTTCACTGATCGTTTGCTCGGCATTTTCATTCTCATTTCGCATATCTTCGTGTTCTTCCCTTACCCGAACCAGCTCTTGTGTCAGTTTATTCTCCGCATCCTCAAGCACAGAAAGACCGTTTTGTAACGTTTGCAGTGCTGATTCTAGTGTTTGTTTCTCTGATTTTAAGCTGTCATAGTCTGCTCTAGTTTGAGTTAATTCTCGGCTTAGGCTCACAGTTTCAGCCTCTAGCTGTGCTAGTCTGCTTCGCAAGTCCACTACCTCAGATTCCTTCTTCGCCTTATCTGCTTGCAATTTCTCATGTTCTGTGGTGAGCTGGGAGAGTGATTTCATCACACTATTCATCTCAGAATCAACTTCGATCTCTTTCTCCTTCAAGGAGTCATGGTTAGACCTGAGCTTCTTCATCTCCTTCGTAAGTTCATTCAGTTCTTTTACGTGGCTTGCCACGGTAGCTTGTGAGTTTGCCAACTCTTTGTTTACTCTTTTGTGATCTGTGCTAAGTTTAGTCAGTTCATTAGTAACCCTTTGTCGTTCAGTTTTCAACTGGTTAAGCTGTTCAGAGACCCGTTTTAGCTCGGCCTGCTTAGCTTCATTTTGACCCTTTAGACCATCGCTATTTTCTTTCAGTTTTGCATTTTCTGTCTTAAGTTCCTCTGTGGGATGCCTGTAAGACCATCGCCTCCTCGTGATAACCTGACCTTCCCATCTTGAAGTTTGTTTATCTCCTCCTCCAGTTCTTTCACCCTGTCATGTAACACGTCTATTTCTGAAGCTTGGTCCTGAGTCTGAGTTAGCAGTGCTTTACGGTTCTTCTGAAGTTCTGTTTCAATGCTACTACTTTCCGACACCATCTTTTCGTAGGAGTTTGACAGATTTGTGTAGTCTTCTGTTACTCTCTCTAGCTTAACCTCAAGTTCATTGGCGTTAGCCTGAGACTTTTGAAGTCTAGAGTTTAAATTGCCTACCTCTTCTTTTAGACTCTCGTAATCAATCTTGACCTGTGTTAGTTCGTACATTACTTTTGTCTTCTCTGTTTCAAGCTGTCTGCTTTCGTCGCTTAAGCGCTTCAGCTCGACCCCAGCATTCTGCTCTATTTGATTTGAGTCCAAAAGTCGTGATTTCAGCTGGGTCAACTCGTCGGCTAACTGGTCCTTTTCGGCCTCTAGCTCAACTCTGATATCTTTCAGACTCTCCTGCTCTGATCCGAGCTGTGCCATTTGGTATAGGAGATTATTGTTAGCAATTTCGCTCTCAGCTAACGCCCCTGAAATCTTTAGCTCTTTCCCCTGCCCATTGTTCCTTAGTAGAAGCATGAGCAATCTCAAGTCTCGCTAATCTGCTCCTTAAGTGTGTCACACGCCAGTATGCTTTGTGCTAAATCTTCTGTCAGCTTAGCATTCTCTGTTTGCATACGCTCTATCAGCCCTTCAGACTCTCGAATCTTTGTGGCCAGGTTTTCTGTTGTGGCAATGAGTGTGCTCTTCTCTTGATAACTATTGGATTTATCTTTTTCAACTTCCCCAACTCCTCGGCTAACCTGTTTCGTTCGACTTGCAGAGCTGTCACCCTGTTCTTCAGCTGATTCGACAAAGAATCATTTTCTACCCTTTCAGACGACAAAGCTATTTCTGTATCCCTTTTCTCTAACTTGAGGTTATCTCTCTCAACCTGGGCAATTCTAAGCTCAGTTTTCAATTCTTTGACCTTCTGATTCATTGTTCCTGATTGTCTTTCCCATTCGTCTTTGTCTGATTGTCTAGCCATCTCTAGATTAGCCTTTTCCGCTTTAAGTTCTCTATTATCTATCCTCAGCTGATTCAATTCACTTTCCATATGGGAAAGTCTACCTTCAATCTTGTTAGCGTCTGTTTGGGCGGACAGAGTTGAACTCTCTACCGACGCCTCTATAGACTTTTCAGCATTTTGTGTTTGTACAAGTGATAAGGCCATTTCTTTCTTTTCATTCTCTAATTCTAACACCCTTGACCTAAGTGTGTCTAGTTCGACCTGCCATTTCTGCCCGTCAGATTGATATGCCTGCCCTAACATGGCTTGAGCTGATTGAAAATCGTCTCGTTCTCGCTTGATTCGCTCAAGTTCCAACATCAGTGCCTCCTTCTCAGCCTGCATGTCAATCAAACCCTTCCTGAACATTTCTAACTCTGTACTCAGCTTCTGATTTTCCGCCTCTAGTTTGGCTGCCGCCGACCGTAGGTCGTCACACTGCTGCCGCCATCTTTTAATTTCATTGTGACTGTCGTGCCCTACCATTTCTTTCTTTACCGCCTGTAGCTCCCTACTCTGTGCTCTTAGATTGTTTAGCTCTATTTGTAAGTCGTCGTCCCTTACCTCAGATCGTTGCGTCTCCGTCAGCTGCACGTGCATCTTCTCCAGTTCGACTCGCAGTTCGTCCCTCTCGGTCCTGATTTCCTCGAACAGAGTCACCCTACTGTTCAGTTCGAATATCTCGCTGTCCTTGGACATCACTGTTACCTCTAGTCTCTCGTATTTCTGCTTCCATGCCAGGACTTCGCGAGAGTAGTCGTCCAGCCTCATGGCCGTCTTCTCCTCGTCGGTAGAGACGTTGATGTTGTCGGTTTGCGTCCATTAGTCCTTATCCTGGCTAGGCAACACCACGTAGTTTACCTTCGTTCCGTCGATAGTCGGGTCGCGAATCATGTTGCCGACGATTTGTTAGTCCTTTCAACGTCAGAAAAAAAATTAAGCCAGCAGTTGTGTTATATTCACGACGATTAGATCAAGCCCGCTCCCGTTTGTAGTCTGTTCCTGGCTACGTGCTCTGCTGGTGTAGCGTGTTACACTGCTTACCTTTTCCCAGGAGGCCGGTAATATTCCCTAAGCTTGTATTGTCAGTGGTTGTAGCTGCAGGCCGCATGAGTGGGCCGGGGCAAGACCAGACAAAAGCCTTCCGTTCTCCAGTCCTTAGCCATTATGATTACATGTGCAAGTTTTGCTGCGCCTCTTCCTGCACCATAGGCATGCACCTTGATTCCAAATCAGGACTTCTGCATGGTTGGCAAGCAACCACTTGTTAATCATAAATACCAGCCTAATCCAATTTTGAAAGGCGTCTCCCCTCGATGTTTCCCACCCCCACCAACTTCCTTTGCGCGACGCGCCCTGCTTACCTCTGCCAAAACAGTCGCCTCACTACTTTACTACTGAGTGCTTTGGTTGGGTCACGTCAGATCCCGATTTATCCCCGCGTACCTTCTATGTGTTACCCTGGGAAACCTTTCCGGGCCTATTAAAATGAACTGTCCCCCCTTTGTGTCACAGCCTCAAGCATTGCAGAAAAGGGGGAGTGCTGTTGGGTTCCACTGGTTGTGTCAGAGACCCCGTAGCTCAGATTATGTGGCAGTTTTGTGTGGAAGGCTACGACCGGAATACTAAAGACCAACCATTACCACGACCCAGGCTTTTGTGCCTCTGCTGTGACACTGCTTCAAGATCGGTATCACTGAGTAAGGACATACCCCGCGACAGTCAAGAGTTCAATTTTCTCACGAAATGGACCCTGACACTTCAATACCTGAAATTGACATCGAGTCATGACAGTTTATGCATGTGTGTTTGTAGGGCGGTTATGTAGAGGGCGTGTTGAAATACGTTGATATGTTAATAAGTGGTACGTCACACAAAATTTTCCCGCCCTGTCCCACGCTCAGGCGCGGACGATATGGACGTATTTTCTGCTTGAGCGGAGCTTGTAGCCAGTAAATTAAGTTAATGGACCGTTCTGGGCCGGTAAGCAAGGCAGTCCGTCTTGTCTAACAGGTTAGAGAACGGGTCATAGTGCAAAGGGCATCTCCCGCAACAATACGGGATTGTGGGAGAGCAATCTATTCACATATTTGAAACAAACAACCGTCATGGCGACCCACGCTGCCCCCTGACGCCACCGCGGTGACACCAGAACAAGAGATGACATTCTCAATGACAACACATCATCAATCACATCCTTTGTGGCGGATACGCCCAGCACATCTGTCTGCAATCCGATCCACAAAAGTATCTTATCTCATGAATATTTTAAAACAAACTCGCAGATTAAAGGCAGGGTTGCTTAAAAGCAAATACATGACCACAGAACAAACATTACAAGATACCGTGGTTATTATAGGGGGCGCTGTTGTAACCACGGCTATCCCTTGTGAATCCAACCATTGATTTAATAACAAATTTTAGGTAAACTTGTCCTTTCAGCTGTTAACCTCTTAACTCAATATATTACAGGGTTGTTCAATGAAGTTAAACAGATTCGTAAAGCATACAGAGCATATGATACTTTGGTGTGGCCTCTACTAGTATTAGACAGATATCGCAAACACACAAACAAATACACCAAGGCGCGTGGCATTTATAGATTCCACCGTCTTTCTACCTGGTTGTAATTAAACACTCCCTCCTGCCTTATCACGATTTCAAGCTGTGTAAAACATCAAATAAATTGTATCTAACATGATAAAGCATGAAAACATGATGAGATAGCAGTTCTTATTCATTTAGCCCTCCGGCGCAGAACATGATAGGATAGGAATGATAATTTCACATTATTCGCGCAACACTTTGTTGATCTGTAAATTGTTATCCTCCCAATCAGTAAATAAAACGGAGACGATAAGATCTTGATTTTTTTAAGATATACCTCTAAGATGGATTAAAAGGATCATCCTTTTTCTATCTCTGTTAAAGCCCTGTTTTCCCCGGGGTATGCCAACTTGCCAAGCCAACCAAATATGGCGAGACGAACTATTATGGGATGCGCATTATGGGTCATCAACCATTTTCATCAGGTCATGATATACACAGTGTGAATGACAGCTTTGTCAAAACATTGAGTCTAAGCGTCCTAGTTTCTCCCAAATATATATGCTGAGCAATTAAAAACCAGACAGTTGACCCGTCCCACATTCTAGTACATAGCTGAAACTTAACTGAAACGTGACTACATTACTGAAACGCAAAAGTGTAATATCAACGAAAAAATACTGAAAAGTGTACTACTCACGATGTTCAATAAGATTAATAATTTTATAATATTTGTTGTTTGCTCTTGCAAGAACTTTTGACACGTCACTGAGAAGACATAAACAGTATTAAGTTATTTCCATTTAGCAAGGTTATTTTTTTGCCATTTGTCTATGTTATACAGAAAGAAGAGAAGAGGAATCTGTCGCCATCTTCCTCCCTGACCTCATGGTTCAGAGGTATGTGTGATTGTTTGATGTGTCAACTTTCCTTTGTTCATGTTTGAGTTGCATATACTAACAGATGAACATGCCATAATGGTAAATATTGTAATCTACGAGTCATGTGTATGGCAAGTCCATCACACGAACCAGCTGTATCTGTAGTAAAGTTTGAAATAAATATAGAATATGATATCCAGATTCTAGACGTTAGATATCTGTATCTGAGGGGGAGATCTTCTGTACTGTTCAGCAATACGAGAGGGAATTATATCCGACTGCCCTTACTGGCACCTTTGAATGCCAGTTACTTTGGCAAGCATTCAAACCAACATGTTACAACCACCGACCTATACCAACTTTACCCTTTCCGTATCTGTCTTTCGTTGTCCTGAACGAATAAGGCGACCTTTCTAGTGAGACAGAGGGACACTGTACATGTGCTTATTTTGTTTATTCAGATCTTTAAAAGCCAGCGGAAGCACAATTTAGTATGGCCCTATAAAGCGCACTTTGTGATTGTCTACCCAAAGCGACTAGTTACAGATTTTAAGACATCGACAAGTATTTTAACTACACAAAAGACAACTTGTATTGCTTTTGAATTATGGCTAAGCAGCAATTCAAATCTTTCTGACTAGGGCATATAGCCACCACAGATATTCTATGATCACCTGTAGCCATTGCGTCCGTCTGAAATATAATTACGTTAATTGCTGTACGAAAGCATGTTTAAGACCTATCATTACACTACTTGTATGCTACATACTGCTTCATTGCTATATTAACACTTAGTGTTCCAATGCCTTTGATGTATGATAAGCCTAGTACACAATTTTTTTGCACACTTTGTTGAACGTTACAGCATACAAAGGTTACATCTGCATAAACATATCTAGAATACAACGAAATAGAAATGAAGGATGCCTACACAACTTTAAAAAATGAACAAACAGGTGTCCGCTGTCAGCAATGGATTATATCTTTGGTCTTGTAAAGTGGTTTCTATGGACAGATTTCATATGTATATGGTGTTACAAGTTCTATGTTTAGCAACTGAAAATAGGCAAAGAAATACAACTGCCTTTGTATAATATTCTCCCGTCACCATGCAGATATGAAATACTATATTTCGTCTATAGCAGGAAACATTAGTGTCGTCCGAATACAGTGGCTGCAATAATTGCTATGCACAAAATGATGAAACACCAAATGTCAGTTTTGGATTCCTTTTGCCTTTCCATCTGCAGTGCTTTCTCAAGTGTCTGTTTTTCTGTTGTGAGTTGGTTTAGATTAGCCCTCATTTTCTTAAGGTCTTTCTCTGCGGCACTTAGGAAGTTTTGTAACAGTTGTTTGTCTAGCTCAAGATCCTGTACGTGTTCATCCACCTTGATGCTTTTCCTTCCGGACACGTCTAAGCTGTATACACTTCCATCTTGCTTGTCTTCATCTTCATCACTTGTGTGGTCTTCTTGGTCAAGGGTTCTAAGTGTCATTTCGGTTTTCTCTAATTTCTGCCCCAAAACCTCTATTTGGTCTTCTAAAGCCCTGACTATGGAGTCTCTGTGGTGTTGCTGTGCTGGCCTAACGCGGAGTCTATTACACGCATCTATGTACAGAACTTCGAGCTTCTCTAACCGTGTTTGTAGATCGATTTCCTTTAGCTTCAGGTCTTTGATTGTCTGCTTTTGTTGTGTGTTTGCGTCCATTTGTTTTTGGAGCTCCTCGACAATATCTTCTAGCATGTTGTCATCTTCCATTACTCTTTTACGCAGCTTCTGCTGGTTCTCAAAGTCTTTCGCCATTTTCTGCAGCTGGGACTTTAGAGTCTTGTTTTCCTCTTCGACTTCTTGTGAGTGTACCTTCATGGCCTGGTGTTCCGTCCAGAGGAGGTACGCCCGTTTCCAGTCCGCATCCACGTCTACTTGGAGCTCGGGAACAGCCGGCGTACAAAGGAGTCCCTCATCGACGTGCTGCGCTTCATTCCCTGTGTGCGGAGAGACACCAACATTCTTCTCAGTCATCAACTCATCATCCACGGACGAACATTCAGACTTACACTCTTCTGTCTGCTCCCCGTGATCAGGCCCTGTGGTCTGCACGTTTATCACGTCACTGCCGTTCACAGCGGACGAGGAGACAGACAGTTTTTGCATGGATTCGTTGACAATGTTAGTCACGGAATGAATGGAGTAAAACGACTCACACGATGATGTAAGTTCTTTGTTAGAAATGTTCAACTCGTTGTCAGCAGATGTGAGCATGGATGTAGAGTGAGATGATAAATTAGAATGTGTTACTTTAGTTGTATGTTCTGTATCTCCGTTAAATGGTGACAGACAGATTTCGATGTTTGCGCTTACCTTCTCTTTTGCCTCCTTGTCTTCTTTGTCGTCTTTTTCTTCCGAGTCTGTACTGCCGGAAGGACGTCGTTTCTTCGGCTTCGTGGCTTCATACTTTGCCTTGAGTTTTTCCCTCTCTTCTCTGAGTTGTAGGTAGCTCTTTTCAAGCTCGTTGTTCTTTACTTGCACTTTCTGAAGGTTCTCCTTGAGTGAGGCGTTCTCTGTCTTGACGTAGGCCAAGGTCCGCTTGAGTTGGTCAACTTCAGGTGCCAAACTTTGCCACTCGTCTCTCTCACCAGAAAGCCGCTTGATCTCCGTTTGAAGGTACTCTACTGTAGACCCTGTTTCTTGCTGTGGGTTGGTTCCCGTCTTTGCCAGCTTAGACAGAAGCTCAGCGTTTTCTCTCTCAAGCTGTCGAATTCTCCCAATTTCTCCTGATATTTTTGGAGACGGGCTTTTAGCCGTCTTCACATCTTCCCTCAGGTAAGCAAGCGTTTTCTTCAGCTGTTTATTTTCTACTTCCAATTGCCATAGCTTCTCCTCAATTTCTTCCTTTTCCGATTCTGGGATAGTTGCATTGCCTTCGTCCTTTCTTGCCCCACCGTCGTCACCTTCTGGGCTGCTGCGTACGCCCGAATCAATCTCTCTTCGGACAAAGGACATTTGCTCTCGCATGTCACGATTCTGTGATTCCAACATCTGCATTTTCTCCTGCATGTCCCTATTCACAATGTCTATACGCTCGATGTAGGCCCTTGCCTGTGCCTCGGCGAGTTTCGAAGACTCCACTAATGACTTTAGTGCTTCATTCTCATCTTCTAGAGCTCGCATCTGTTCAACAATGTCCACACTCTGTCTCCACCGATGTTCTCTCATGCGCTCATTGACATTGCGCTCATCCAGCTTCTCCGTACTTTTACTTCTCTTTTTTACTTGCCAGTCGACGTCCTCCTTTGCCCTCAGGGAGCCTTGCAATGATTTATTCTCAGCCTGCAGTTGCGCAACTTGGAACCTAAGTTTACGTACGGACTCTGAGTTTTCTGTCATTTCTTCCATGTCCACCTTAGATCTCAGAGAATAGTTCTCGTCTTCCAGCTTCTGTACGAAGTTTTCTTGTTTTGCCCTGTCTTCCTTCAGTTTCAACAGTTCGTCCCGCAGTGCATTGGCTTCCGTTCTCAGTTCTGCCACTATTGACTGTTCTCCCTCCAACGACTTGATGGTCAGGTCTTTTGCCATACTTTGCTCTGTTATTAGGCTCTTCTCCCGTCGAAGTTGTTCAACTTCTTGAGTCATCTGGTCTAGTTTTTTAGACACCTCTTGCAGTTCGCTGTTTCCTTTCGCAGATGCTGATAATTCAGCCTTCTCCTTTTCTATAACGACTCTCTCGAGTTGTTTGATGGTCTTAGATGTCTCCTCTCCAATGCGCCAGTTCTCCCTCTGTCTGTCTTCGGCCAGCTTCTTCCAGGTTTGTACATCCTGTTCGAGCGACCTTACTTTCGACCCCAGGTGGTCCTTGTCTGTCTTCAATACCTCTAACTTGCTTTGATTCTCCTTCAGGTCTTTTTCCAAGATTGAATGTTTCTTTTCAAGGTTGCCTGTTGTCTGTTGAAGTTTTGTGATATCTTTATCTTTGGTGTCTTTGTCTTGAAGCGCAGATCTGAGCTGTTGTTTCACATCAGTGAGCTCCTTCTCTACGTTTTCCTTATCCTTCAGACGTCTTTCCTTCTCTTTCACTTGCCATTGTAATGAAGAAAGTTCGGACGACTTGCTTTCCAGGTCAGCTTTCACTCTCTTAAGCTGTTCATTTTCTTTGCCAGACTCTGTAGTCTTGTCTTTTTCCAGCTCTTCTACACGTGCCTGAAGCCGGGATATTTCAAGGTCTCCTTGATCTTTGCTCTTCTTAGTTTCTGCTGAAGTCTTCTTAAGAGTGTCCATCTCTTCTTTTGTTCGTGAAAGCTCTTCTTCCACTCCTCTTAACCTCTGTTCGTGCGCATCCCTGTTGGTTTGCATGAGAACCTCGGCATCGCTGACTCTCAACTGCAGTTGCTCTTTCTCTTTCTCTACAAATGCCTTTGCTTTTTCGGCCTGTTTCACTTTTTCGCTCAAGTTTTCTTTCTCTTTCATGATGTTGTTCTTCGCATTTTCTGCTTCTTTGGCCTTCTGCTCCATGTTCTTTTTCGCATTCTCTGTGTCCTTTACCTTCTGCTCTATGCTTTTTATCGCATTCTCTGCTTCCTTTGCTTTCTGCTCTATGTTGGACTTTGCATTCTCTGCTTCCTTAACCTTCTGCTCTAAGATCGTCCGAATGCTGTTAATTTCATCAACCTTTTCTTTCATCACTTTCTCGAGGGAGGTTTTACCAGTCTCGGCCTCAGCGATTTGAGATTCCTTCTCCTTTAACTGCACATTCAGACGATTGTTATCCTCTTCAAGAGATGCCTTCTCAAATGACATCTGCTCAATCTTTTTACAGCTCTCGTCATAGCTGTGTTTCAGGTGAAGCAAATCTTCTACCTGTTTCTTCAATGCATTGCTACCTTCGTCCATTGCCTTGGCTTTGTCTTCATAATCCTTGACTTTCCTTTCCATCTCCTTACTTTGTGTGTCACACTCCCTCTGTAAGTGAAGATTTTCAGTGCGCATCTTAGTGTGAGCGTCCTTTAGCTCACGAACAAGAGATTTGAGCTTTTCGTTCTCGATGTTTGCCACTCTTGTTTCCTCTTTTGATAGACTGAGCTTCTCTTTAAGCTGCATGATTTCGCTAGCCTCCTCTTCTACGTTCGTCATACTGTTCCGCAGCTGTCTTTGAAGGCGATCTCTCTCGGCTGTTAAGGTCTTCTTTTCCGCTTTTGACGTCTCAACTTCGTTTTTGAGGTCTTTTATTTTCTTCTGCATTGTTTCACCTTCTTTGTTCGTTTTTGTCAAGAGTTGATTGATTTGCTCCCCAACTTCTTCTGTTCGCTGCAGCTCAGTCTTCACTCGGTCCAGTTCGGAGCTCACACCCGTCAACTTGGACTGCACCTCGCCTAGATCCTTTTCCAAGGCCTCTATCAGTTCTTTCTGGGATTCCACATCCTTTTCTAGAACTTCCTTTTCCGCTTCCAATGTTTTGTTTGACTGCCTGATGTCCTCAATCAACTTCTGCATATCATCAATCTCATTCTCGGAGCTCATTTTCTTTTTTTCAAGCTCTAGGAGTTTTGTCTCCGCTTCCTTTGAATGCCCCGCCATCTTCAGTTTTGTATCCTCAAGCTCTTTCCTTGTTTTCTCTGTACTATCTTCGAGTGCTTTCCTAGTGGTCTTTTCGTCCTTTAGCTGGTTCTCAAGTGATGCCACAGTGTTCCTTTGGATTTGCATCTCTTCATTTAGCTGCTGTACAATCTTCTTTTCACTTTCTATCTGTGTTGTGAGTTCCTCTACCGTTTGCTTCTCTTTCTGCAAATGGTTCTCTGTTTCAGACAATTTCTGTTCCTTTTCCTGAGCCAACGTTTTGGAACTGTCTAGAGCTGCCTTTTGGGATTCAAGCTCTTCTTTGAGACGGGCATTGCTCTTTTTCAACTGGTCAATCGCTTGTTCCATCTCGCGTTTTGTTTTCTTGTGTTCCTTAGCTGCCTCTTCCAAACTCTTATTTTCTTGCTCCAATGTTTCTATTGCTTCCCGCATACGCTGGCTTGCCTTCTTTGGTGTTGCAGTCCCGGCTTCCTTGGTCAACTTGACCTTCTCTGTCTTGAGACTTTTGTTTTCTTGTTTGAGTTTTTCTGTCATCTTCTCTATGTCAACGATGCGCATCTCCATTCCCTCATATGCTATTTTTCGAGACAGTGCGTCCTGCTGATGCTTTGTTGCTATCTCAGTCTGAAGGCCAAGGTCTTTCTTGAGTTGGAGATTCTCGTTGATAAGCGTTTTGTGTGCCGCTTCTTGATCCTCGATCTGTGCTTTGAGTGTGTCTAGCTCTGTCGACACCAGCTTTTTCTCCTCTTCTGCCCTGTTTACAGCCTCCTTATAGGGCTTGATTTCATCTTCTTTGGTATGAGATATATCGAACTGTTGCAGAATGTATTCCTTTTCAGCCAACAATCTGGCATTTTCCACTTTAAGGTCTTTCAGTTCTTTTGCTAAGTCGGTCATTTTTTTCGTAGTTTCTTCTGTCTGTTGGTTTTTATCCGCTTTTTCCTGCACTGGACTAGTGTCTGTCTTCACTGGATCGGACTCTGTCTGAGTTTCTTTCCACTCCATCGTTGACGTTTTTCCCTCTCCTGGGTTTCTATGCTCTTCCACGCGATCTGATTCTGTCTGTGTTTCTTTCCACTCCATAGTTGACAGTTTCCCCTCTGCCTTGCTCGTATGCTGTTCCACACGTTCTGATTCTGTCTGTGTTTCTTTCCACTCCATAGTTGACAGTTTCCCCTCTGTCTGGGTTTCTTGACACTCCATCTTCGCCACGGCATCCACCGACTTGTTGCTTGATGTTTTATTCATGTCGTCCTGTTTGCCTTTCTTTCTGGCAGGTTCTTCCTTATCTTTACTCTGACTACTGTACGCCTCAGCAGCCTTCTGTTCTGTGACCTGTTTTTCGGGGAGCATTTTTCGACACTCGTCAAGTGACGTCAACGCCTTTTGATACTCTTTCTTCAGATTTTCAGCCTCGTCTTTGTGCTTCTTCGATGTCTCTTTTAATTTTGTTTCAAGTCCTTGTCTTTCCTTCCACACTGCATCGTTTTCCTTCCTCATCTTTTCAATCTGCTCTTTCAGTTCATCAGTAAGCTTGCTCGTGGCCGTCTGCCTCTCTTTGTACTGTTTGGTTATCGACTCCTTTTCATATCTGATCTTGTCCAGCTCCTTTGCGAGTTCGTTGTATTCTTTTCGCAGGGTTTCAAGTATGTGTTCACTTGCCTTTCCCTTCTCACTGGCTTTGACTTGTTCCATTTGCTTCGCCATTTCGTGGTTTGTCTTGCGCAGGGCATCCAATTCTTTCATGATTTCGTTGATCTTGTCATCTCCATCTTTTGCAATCTTCTCTTTCTCCTTCGCAACTTTGATGTGTTGTTCCACCTCCTTCTCCATTTCTTGGTTTGTCTTGCGCAGGGCATCCAGTTCTTTCATAATTTCTTTGATCTTGTCATCTCCGTCATTTGCGATCTTATCTTTCTCTTTGGCAACTTTGACATGTTGTTCCATCTCTTTCTCCATTTCTTGGTTTGTCTTGCGTAGGTCGTCAAGTTCCTTCATAATATCGTTGATCTTGTCATCTCCCTCTTTTGCAATCTTATCTTTCTCTTTGGCAAAAGAGTCTCTTTGGTTCTTGGTATCCTCAAGAAGGCTTTCGAGGTCGGAATATTTTGTCTGCAGACTTTGGTGCTCTACCATCATGACTGTGTACTCCTTAGCCTTCTTCTTGTTCTCCTCTGCTTCCCTCTGCTCTGCAAGGCACATTGTCAACTTGTCAAGATTCTCTGATAGTTTCTTCTCCAGGTCCGCAACTTTTTGTTCCAGGATCTCTTTGTCGGCGATCAAACTATTCATCTTCTCGTTATCTGGTGCATCTTCCTTTAGGGCTTTCTCGAGACTGAAGATCTTAACTTGCAACTCTTGGTTTTCCTGCATCAAAGCTTGCAGTTGTTCGTCTCCCTTTTCCTTAGCACTGATCAGACCCTGGTTTGCAGTATCATTGTCTGACATGGCTTGTTGCAGTCCACTGACCATATCCTTCATTTCAGCATGTTCTTTCTGAATACGGTCCAGTTCTTCCTCTTTCTTTGTTTTGGTTTCTGAGAGTTCTTTTTCTCTTGCCTTCGATTCCTCCAATAAGTTTTCCATTTCTGAAATCTTTGCTCTCATTGAATCTCTTTCTTGCGTCGCAGACTGTAGACGCTCTTCCACATCCTTCATAGACTGAGAAACAGCGACGCTTTGTTTCTTATTTTCATCCAAAGAACGCCTTATTTGTCCCGACGTTACTAAGACTTCGTGCATTTCCTTCTTGATGGATTTGTTCTGACCTTCTAGACGAACGTTCACCTCTTGTATTTGATTCATTTTCGCGTTATTTTCATTTATCTGTTGTTCTGCTTGCTGGACGTAGGTCATCATTTCTTCGTTGCCTGCTTTCAGCTTGGCAATTTCATCCTCACTTTCTCTCCCTAGCCTTTCCAGTTCTTGTCCCTGCTGTTGTGTTGTTTTTCGCAGCACCTGATTTTCCTCTTCAGCACCTGACAGCTGTTCTAATCTGGCACCCATCTCTGTTAAAGTGCTCTCCATACCCGGGACTTTGTCAGCTTGGGCCTTTAGTTCACTGTTTTCTCCCTGCAACTGCGTTAGCTGGTCTGTAGCTTGCTGGATGAGGTGACTGTATCGCTCGCAGTCCCTCACAAGATTCTCCCTCTCCTCACTTAAAGCGTTTAGTTGCTCTTTCATGGTCCTCATATCCTGCTCCATCTGACCCATCTGACCTGTTTTAGCTTGGAGTGTTGCTATCTGCTGCACGTGAACTTTTGACTCGCCTCTTAATGACTCCAATTCCCTAAGCTTTTGATCGGCTGACCTTTTCTCTTCCAATAGGTTCTTCTTTTCATTTTGTACGTCAATGAGCTTGGCTCTGTATTCTTTCACAGTTGTCTGGCTCTTCTCCAGCTTTTCTTCAAACCTCTGCGCCTCTATATACTCCAAATGTCTTCGCTTCTCAAGGTTGTCTTGCCTCATTTGTCTACACTCCTCTCTTGATTTCTCAAGGTTTTTCCTAGTTTCTTGGAGACTGAATTCCAACTTCTTTAGCTTGCTGATCTGCATATTAAGCTCTCTGTTCTCCTGAACTATTCTCTGTACAGCTTCGTCTCCTTCTAGTTGTTTTCTGGCATTCTCTTGCAATTTAAGGCACTGATCTTCAAGAAGCTTTCTCTCTTTCTCTCCTTGTTCTTTCTCTGCATAGAGGTCAGCCACTCTTTGACGTAGTTGCCTCATTTCTTCATCTGCCATTTCCCTACTTTTAGATTGCTTTTGGAGCACCAAGTTTTCTTCCTCTAGATACTTTGCTTTCTCGCTGGCTTTTTTCTGTCGTTCGAGATCAAATTCTATTTTTGCCTTGTCCCGTTTTAGCTGCAGATTTTCAGTCAACATCTTCTGAAACTCATCTTGTGTCTTGGTGAATACATCTTCACTTTTTCTCATCTTGCTAAGAAGAGATTTTAGCTCTCTGTTCTCTGTCTCTACCTCTAAAAGCCTTTTCCTTAACTTCGTCATTTCTTCCATGTATCTCTGGCGTTCTGTTACGGGCCCACTGCTTGTGGGAGACAAGGGTGATGTCGGGGTAGTCGGTGATTGAGCGGTAGAACCATCGGAACCATCTGAAGTTACACCTGACGCCATTAAGGAATCTATATGTGCTTTCAGTGCCCTGTTTTCTCGGTCAAGTTCTCTAGATCGTACTACATAAACAGCAAAGGCCTTGTTCTGATCTTCGAGCTGCTTGATTTTCTCTTCATAAACGGCATCAGATAGCGATGATATGGACCATGACCGTTGCAAATTTGAAACCGCAGAAGGTGTGATTGGCATACCTGACGTTCCTGGATAGGGAGGCGGCGGTATCCCTGGGCCCGGACCCTGTGTGAAGTCAAACCCGAGCGGCGGACCTCCTTCAAACGTTCTTGGTCTCGGCGAGCCACGAGGAGACCCGGTCGGCGTGTCGAAATCCCCATCGTCGTCGGGATCCAGTCTCGGTGCGGGCTCCGAGGTGGTGCTTGACCAGGAACCTCGCCTTGAATGTGTCCTAGAAGTTGGTTGCGACTCCCCAACCCGATAATGTCTGCTTCCTGACTTGTCCCGGATCATTTTAGCGACTTGTGTTAGACTGTATCATACCCTGACAACTCCTAACACACTCACAAAAAGGACTTCTTTGTCGTGCCTGGTCCCATACATGATTTACAAAATGGCGGCAGGTAGACAACGGGCTTGGGTGATGCACTGGTTCTACCACCTAATGCCCATATTCGGACGAGACGTCGTCACGCTATTTTTATGCTAATCAGCCTGGCAAGCAGGGTGATAGACAACATATTTTCTTGCCAAGCGTCGCCACACATCCGGGTGAACAAAGCAAAGTCGCTATGTGCATCAAACTCACCGCACAAAAATGTGACCGAACAGGTAAATGGTCAGGGTTGAGCGAATTCTGTTGCAAACTCCCCCGGCCTCAAACTTCACATGGATCCTGTCAGTTGTCCCATTTTACTCATATCGACATAAAGGAAGGTGCGGCACGGTATGCTATCGTCGGACGCCTTTCTTCTCCGTTATGCTGTAACGAATCATGCCTCGAGGCTACGACTCGATAATTACACAGGCATTGAAGTCATCTCAATTATGGGGGACAGCGTATAGTACAGGAGAGATAGTCTTGCCTTCAACTGGTTCAAACCGGTATCCATGTCCCATTGCACGGCCTGGCCTCTTCGTTCCCGGTCAACGTGTGTCCGTGTGATATTACTTATTCATACACGTAGTGGACCAGAACAAATGAGAAACCATGGAGCATATGGAAATACATGTTGCTTAAATACTGCAATATTTTGGTGTTTAATTGTGGAGGATGTGATGCCAAGAGAACAGTTTTCAAACTTTATCAGGGCACAATATCTATCACACTTTGCCTTCGTTTTTAAAGATAGTTGACAAACTATTCTAACACGGAATTAATATGGAGACTACTGTCCTTTCGCCCTCCCACCTTCACATGTTTACTGGTAGGCTAGGCCCTAACAGACCAAACCGGATTCAGGGAGGTTCATTCAGGGTCACTGGTCACGCAAGCCTAGCTCATGTGACTTTCTCGGTTACAGACACAAACAAGAGAGCTGTAGCTGTGCCCAGAATCCAAATATTGTCCCAATCTGGTGATAAATCATTCATGAGCCTAAAGCATCCATCATGTGTTAGTCAGGAGGAAACCATAAGACTTGTTTGGTATGTGGTGGGATAAAATAGTGCTGCATATTTCTTAACGTATAGGAATGATCCTCAAAGGGATGAAATAGTGCTGCATTTCCTGAAGCAGTGCTGTATTTCTTAAGACAACTATTTCTACAGCTTTCCGCCATTTCGTCCTCCATCTTAATTTTATCACACAGAGTATTAGTTTGAAATTATTTTGTGACTCACACACAGCCTTGACCCTCGCAGAGCCTTCGAAATCAATTCTGAAGCGTCTTGCCTGCGATTACCGATCTTTGTGTGCAGTACCTTATTATTAATTTGAAAATTAAATGTTAGATCCAATTATTGATAGGCTATCATGATATGACCATCCTGTGTACGACATGCGTGCAGGAAATCTTGTACTGGGTGGTGTTAGACACATTGTAAATCATCTGCTATTGCTGTGGTATTCATGTCGTAATAATGAGGTACTAGTGAGGTATTCCAAGGATGTGAACTTTGTTAGAGTGTACGGTCACACGTGACTGCCCCTCCCCCTCTCTACTTGATTACTTGGTGCTGATAAACCATCCCTAGCACGCGACTAGCACCAAGTGGGTTGAATAGGGGTGTTGTACATTGGGCATAGTAAGAGGGGGCATTGTAAAAAGGTTAAAATATATATGCCAATACTATGACAAGTTCTGGAAACTGCATTCCACATTATATGTACCCATGTGACATTTGAAGTTTGAGATGCTGCAATCTTACGTATTACGAGGTATACTTCTGGGTGGTGAACTGTAAGATTGTACCTTGTCTATTTTGTGTTTATTTGTGAAGTTGTCATAACGTTGTCTGTACACCATACCTTCTAGAAAAACTGGTCCTCTCTCCAATTACCCACATACTACCTTGCATATTTTTCCCGACTAAGCTATACGGGTGTTGGGGTAAACTTTCATTATCCCCCAGTGCTAATTCAACTAAGGTGGAGCTAATGTAAGTTAGTGAAAATATTAGACTAAAAATCATCAACAAAATAGTACACAAGATATAAGATGGCTTTGTATAACTATATTTTCAACCACAACCACAAACGACAGAATGTGTCAAACATGACAGAGAGATAGAGACAATACGGATTGTTACGATAACTTGCCTTGTGCCCAAACTTAGAAAAATCCATCGGAAAAAAACAAGTAAATTCATGGATGTGATTATAACGTCACCGAATGTTCAAAGGGAAATAAACACAGGGTCAAATACATCCCTCACACACCATTCGACCAAACCGACACATAACCTACAAAAAGGGTCAAAAAGTAACCAATACGTATACCAATGCATTTACCTATTCTAACAAAGCTTCATCCCTTTAGCTATCTTAACAATTGCATTGCTAATCATTACTCTTATTGAAACTGTACATAACAACCCTTCAATTCTACAGCGTCTGTGTCAGCTCATGAAAAATTTGCCCTAGATGAATCTATTTTGTTTGTAAAACGTCATCCAACAGTGTTTAATTGGGGAAAGGATGTGAAATGTTTCGACTGCTGTTCATAAACATAATTAGAAGCTTGAATGTTGACATGAAATTTTGCCACGTAATCGTGGATCTTCACACCTTACAACAGTAAGTTACATGCCAATTATTGGTAATTGTACAGCATGTTAGATCTATTATGTTGAAATCCTGTGTCCTGAGAACTAAACCATAAAACGTTACAATCGCTTAAGTGTTAAGTGAAATACAAATCCATTAGTTAAACACTATACTAAGTATAGGCATTAAACTATTAGCAATCATCATTATACTCACCAAATATCGGAACCACCACACCAAATGAAATCTTTACTTGTATTTGTGCATATTAAGAATACTTCAAGTGTCTCTATGACCTAGTCTGAGCTGACTTCATGCTTAGAAGTCTTTTGATGGATATTGAGTCTTCGTTGTTGGTACCTACGTGCCTCTTAAAATGTCATTTTGCCAGATACTCTATATTATATTCAGGAAAAGTACAGAAGTAGCACTTAGCGATGGAGTTAGTCCTCTGAAAATCTGGAGAGCTTCTGACTTCAGGAGTTCTGTGCTGGGCATTGTGCTTCTTCATTCTTCTCGTTTCCCTCATCATCGTCTTGTTTTGCTGCATCAACTTTTTTAGTTTGGGTTCCCATCTTAATAAGAGCTGACAGTTCTTGCTTTGCTTTCAGCACTGTGTCCTCGATCCTCTCTTTCTCGTCCAGCATCAATGTTAGCTGCCATATCTTCTCTGACACAGTGTCCCTGAGCTCCTCTTTTTCCCTTTCCGACTCGTAGCTATCTTGCTGCATTTTTGCGACCTGTAATTTGAACTTTTTCGCTTTTCTCTCCGCATAATCCTTGGTGCTTTCCAGGTACTTCATCTGTCGGGATAGATTGCGCTTTTCCCTACTAACGCCAGCCAGTTCCTCCTCTGCTTGTGCCAGTCTCAGCTGAGTTTCTTGTAGACTTTGCACGACTTGGCGTCTTTTAGTTTCCGCTAGCACTTTTTCAGTCTCCGCATCCGCAAGTTTCTCTATGAGGTCGCTGACTTCTCCCATCTTTTCAGTCATGGATATTTGCAAGCTGTCCACTTTGTCTTGAAGCTTGGTAATATGCTCTTCCCTGGCGCTTTCGCCTTCGGCAAGCCTTTTTTCCATTATTTCTTGTTGCTCCTTTTTGACGTCGTTTACGGTTTTCGCATAGTCCACTTCCCATGCTCTTCGCCTGAGTTGCTCTTCCATATCGTCGCATCTTATAGTCATTTCTTTTAGCTCCTCTCGAAGCTTCTTTATTTCCCTCTCTTTTTCACTGATCTTTGCCTCTAACGTCAGGTTTTGACTTTCTATTTCACTAATCTTTTCTTCCAACTTGAGATTCTGCGCTTTTATGTCCTTCTCTTTTGTCTCCATCCCTATCAGCTGTGCTTTTGCTTCTTGGTATTTATCTTCCATGCTGTCTTTCTCCTTCACCGTCTTACACAGCTCGTTGTACTTGTCCCTTGCGCAGCTTAGATCTTCAATTTCTTTCTTCAATTCTGCGTTCCTCTTTACCAAATCGCGTTCTTTGTCTCCAGATGCCTTTACTGTTTCTTCCAGCTCACTGACGTACTTGGTGCACTGCCTTTCCAGTCGGAGGTTTTCAGTGCGGATGGAGATGTTTGTATCTTTCAATTCTTTCACCAACATCTCCAGCTTTTCCAATTCTGAAGAAGAGATGCCGACACTCTCCTCCAGTTTCTCTAGTTTCTGCTTGTACTTACACCTGTCATCTTCCGCATATTTCTTCGACTTTTCCGCCTCTTTAAGTTTTCCTACCATGTCATCCCTCTCGTCTTTCAACTCCTTCACCAATATTTCCTGCTCGGCTAACCTTGAAGTAGAACCGCTGATCCTATCTTGTAGCTCTTCCAATTCCGACTTAATCTTAATCTTGTCATTCTCTACATGTTGCTTCGCCTTCTCTGACTCCTTCAATTTTTGAACAAGATCATTCTTCTCATCTTTCAACTCTTTCACCAATATTTCCTGCTCGGCTAACCTTGAAGCAGACCCGCTGATCCTATCTTGCAGCTCTTCTAATTCCGACTTGATCTTATCCTTGTCATCCTCTGCATCTTGCTTTGCCTTCCCTGCCTCCTTCAATTTTTTAACAAGATCATTATTCTCGTCTTTCAACTCTTTCACAAATATTTCTTGCTCAGCTAACTTTGAAGCAGACCCGCTGATCCTATCTTGCAGCTCTTCTAATTCCGACTTGATCTTATCCTTGCCATCCTCTGCATCTTGCTTTGCCTTCTCTGCCTCCTTCAATTTTTGAACAAGATCATTCTTCTCGTCTTTCAACTCTTTCACAAAAATTTCTTGCTCAGCTAATCTTGTAGTGGATCCGCTGACCCTTTCTTGTAGCTCCTCCAATTTTGACTTGACAGTATCATACGCGGAACACTGTCTTTCCAGTCGGAGGTTGTCCGTGCGAATGGAGATATTGGTGTCTTCCAATTCTTTAACCAAAATCTGCAACCTTTCCAGTTCTGAAGTACAGCGGCTGACCATGTCTTGCAGCTCCTCCAATTCTGATTTCAACTTACACTTGTCATTCTCGTCATCTTGCTTGGCTTTCTCTGAATCCTTCAGCTTTTGAATAAGATCATTTCTGTCGTCCTTCAATTCTTTCACCAATATTTCTTGCTCAGCTAATCTTGAAGCAGAACCGCTTGCCCTTCCTTGTAGCTCCTCCAATTCTTCTTGTAACTTACATTTATCATTCTCTGAATTTTGTGTCAACTTTTCTGACTCTTTCAGCTTTTGGGTGAGGGCTGCCCTCTCGTCTGTCAATTCTTTCACCAATATTTCATTCTCAGCTAATCTCGAGGCAAATTCGCTAGCCCTTCCTTGTATCTGCTCCATTTCCTGTTGTAACTTACACTTGTCATTCTCGTCATCTTGCTTGGCTTTCTCTGAATCCTTCAGCTTTTGAATAAGATCATTTCTCTCGTCCTTCAATTCTTTCACCAATATTTCTTGCTCAGCTAATCTTGAAGCAGAGCCGCTTGCCCTTCCTTGTAGCTCCTCCAATTCTTGTTGTAACTTACATTTCTCATTCTCTGAATTTTGTGTCAACTTTTCTGACTCTTGCAGCTTTCG